AGGCTATATAGTTATGAGAAACCACTTGAAACCACCTCAGTTTTTGTTAAACACTTATCAATATGTTAGGCGTGTATGGTCAAATGTTTAGTTGTTTAATTCTAATTTACTTAAGTCTAACTATAAACCCTAAACCACAAAAGCAAACAATTCATATCACGAACGAAGAGAACATTTTAAAAAGGATATACCAAGTAATTAACTTACATTTGATAACAATATTTGTGTCAGAGAAGAAGAAATAAACGCATTTCGAGCGCTTGATTTCTGTCCCCCTTTCTTTGGCCTCAAAGTTCAAGTCAGGCTGCGGTCACACATGCAAATCATTTGCCCACAAGTGCGGCCAATTGCTTTTCTTAATTGTGTGCAATTAAATTTGCCCGTGTGACCATAGCGCTGATACAAAACGTTTGCTCAAAAGCTAGAAATTGCTAAACAAAATTAAAAACAAAAACCTTACGGCAGCAAAGCAATTAATTTTAAACATTTTGTGATACGCAAAATTTATGGTTTGGCACAATTTACACAATATATAACAAACAAATACAACTAAATAAACAATGCTAGCATATTATATTAAAAACAAAAAAAAAAAAACAAAATTCAATGTGATATTTTCGGCACAAACTACATACTACCAACAAACAAACAAACAAACAAAAATTTATGAGAAATGTTTTCTACAAGTAAAAAAGAAAAAAAGACGCAAAGGAAGAGGAAAACTGTTTTAATCTTTGTTGCTTGTCTTTTTGCGTATTTATTGTTATTTAATTATCAAAATTGTTACGTTTCGGCAAAGAAAAAAAAAAACAAAACAAAATTAAGCACAAAATGTATAAAATTATTTCTTAGCTTTAATTATTTACGGCTAATAAAGATTTGTAAGTTTCGTTTGCTCTTAAGTTCTCTGTATATATATACCTATCTATATATGTTTGAAAATACATTTTGTTTAGTTTTTACACAAATTTAGTTTAAATACAGCAACTACAACAACAACAACAACTACTACAACAAGAACAGCTACAACTATAACAACAACAGCAAGAACAGCCAACAGCAAACATGTTAAGGATAAATCAGATTTATGTACCAAAAATGTAATAAAAATATGAATACAACAACAAAACAATGAGCAGCATGTTGAATGGCAGAACAACTACACATAAAGCTATACTTCAACTATACAGATATACATATACTCTACTCTATATGAGTGTGTCTGCGAAAGTACAGCTCTTACTATCCACCTAACTCTCGTCTCCACACGGCCCCCGCAAAAGGCACAGCAAATATTTTTATACCTAAGACTTGTAATCGCAGCGGCTGCTTATGGAGCAGTCTGAATTGTTCACTATAACAATTACATACATACAAACATACCTACCTACCTACCAACATACATACATACATAAAAACGAATCAAATTTTACTTCAAACTCGCACACACATTCGCAAAGCCACGGAAAAGCCGTGCCACAATTTTCCCCTTTTTCCCACCATCCTAACGAATTGTATAACAAATATGCAAAAAAAATATTATACACAGCTATATATATATATGTATGTACGCTTAGCAAAAAACAAAAAAAAAACAACTACAAAAGAGAGAGAAAAAGAAAAACAAACAAACTAAAAGCCAAATGAAAACAGCAATTCAATTTTTTCGTCGTCATCGTCGTCTACAAATACAATTCATAATGTTTCCAATTTATTCCAATTAATTGAACAAAAAAATTATATATATATATATTAATAAATAACTCACTAGCAGCATTTAAATGTCAGAAAAACAAAACCAAATAAAATTTACGATTACTATAAATAACAATAGTTTTATGAATAGACAATAGACCCATCTCCCCATATCTACGGGTTAAAGTATTCTTTGGAAGCACAATTCAAAACGTTAGGTGCGGGTGGGGGCTCTCCTTTTCAGCATTCGCCGATCAACAGTCAGTTCAATTACTGGTAAGCCATTAAGTAAGTATTAAATGGTGGTAAGTATGTAATTATGTATTTATTGGCAATTACTCAACTAGGCACTAGCTGGTCTGCATAGATGGAGTGTCTCAGCCAAGTGTAATTTAGTTTGGCAAACAACTGAACTGGAAACCGATCTGGAAAAACCGATTATCAAAGCTACGATTACGACTACTTAGAGCGTTTTATAATAATCGTATATAGTGTGTACGCTCATGGGCATAGCCAGGATTTAGTCCAGAGGGGCCTCATTTTTTACTATCAAATTATTTGCACTACACAAAAAACACATTAAAAATATGAAAAAATAGGGAAAAATGGGCAAAATGAAATTCAAAATAATGAAAATGTATTCATCTACATATTTCAAATGTAATAAAATAAAATAAAAAACCTGCCTGCAAACGGTGGAGAGAAAAATTTGATGTTTTTCAAAAATATGTCATTGTTCTAATAGGTTTCAGTTTGAAAATCAATTTATTTGATGTTTTTCAAAAATATGTCAATTTTCTAATAAGTTTCAGTTTGAAAATATATATAAAATATATATATTTTCAAGCCTAGTTAATTTTATATAAAGAAGGAAGAAGAAAGGAAGAAGAATTTATTTGCAAGCTGAAATGGAAAAGGAGCCGTATCTGAGGTCGGAGCAGTTATCAAAAGGAAGTTATGACAGATACAGAAATCTAAAATCATTTTATTTCGACGGTTCAGAACAGAAGCTGCCCGCTTTGGAACCCCCCCCCCTCGCTACGGCCATGGGTGCGTCCTAAACTAAGCTGCACTTTTTTAAAATAATAACACAGAATTGATATTTTGGCGAAATGCGTTTTTTTTATTTTAAATAATTAAGTGGAAATCTTACAAAGGAGTGTTTTCCGAATTGGTAGTAGGCGCATGGAGCCAAATCTGGAGAAAATCGCGAGTGGTTCATGGAACAAATATATATATATTTTTTTTTTGTCCTGAAACAAGCATCAGATTATATACAACAAATCTGGGTGCTTCGAAGCCCAATTATGTTCTAAGAGTTGTGGTCTTTTTGATTCCTTTATGATGCCTTTCAAATGTTGAATTCTGAGGACATTTTTAATAATTGTTTTTTTTTTTTGTATTGTCATAGAAATAATGAGTAAAATAAAATAAACTCGTAGTGCCTAGGGACTAGACGAGTCTACATACCGACTTTGGTCCGTGTAGCCTCAGCCGTTTCCTTAAACCAGGCGTTCATTCAGACAAACACGACAAGATCGATTACATCATCCATTCCGAGTTATCGATACAGAAAAATCAGAGAGACATGGAAACATCCGTAATTGGCATCTGTTATTCAAGAATGCTTTGAAAACTTATTCCTTAGCAACTTATTTGTAGCAGAAAACCATATTTTAGTGCAGAATTCATTCATTCTTTTATTAAATTGTTCTGAAATTCAATAAATCTGAGTGAAAATTTTTGTTTTTCATTAGCATTATTTGTTGCAGCCAACCAAGGCTTGAAGTAAATTAAATATTTGGCATAGCTTAAAAAGCTACGTTTTTAAAGCAGAAACTAATTTTTGCATAAACGCTTAAGGTTAGGCATTTCTTTGCTGTTTGAGTTCTGGATTATTTCAGGAGACAAAATATAGTTTTGTCAATTTTGGATCTTTTTGTTGCAGACTTTCAATAGATTGTTTTGGAGCTGGCGTCTTCTGAAGGAACAAAGTGATTAAAACATTTGTTCAAGATAAGATAAACATTTAAAAAATCCAAATGTTTTCCAATTTGCAATAAATAATAGTGTTTTAATTAGCTAAATTATTTAATAATTCATTGAATAGGTAAAAACATTCAAAAAAGAACGTAATTATGAGAAAGAAAAATATCACAAAAAAAAATTTTTTTTTTTATATGCGAAGCGTCTAACTAAAGCCGCTTCAACAACCAAAAACGTCATAATTATAAGAAAAAATTTTATTTTTATTTTCTTTATTATTTATATTACGAAACAAAAATATGCCGTCTTCATAAAATAACAAAGTGCTTTGAAAATTGGTTAAAGCAAAGGCCAAGGTTACACTGTTTTATTTGAAAAAAAAAATCTAAATTGTAAAATAAAAAATCTTCTAAATTGTAAAATAATTGGAGGGTCGATAATTTTAGGCAATTTACAACAGCTGGTACCCCAGTTTCGGCTTACTGAAGGATAACGGATAATAGAAAATATAATTTCTAAATAGATGTAATAATGCAAACTGACTAACCTTAATCACACCATATAGACAATATAGATATAAACGAGTCGCCTATACCGATTTGAAAATATTTGACGCACACTTATTGCAACGCAACGCCAGACGATTGGTATTTATTTAAGCAAATATTAAAGCGGTATAATTCTATTACCAGCATATAAGAGCCTTACCTCTATTTCCAAAACTATGGATTATCATATCTGTAAAGTAATAAAAATAACCGGTTAGAACTGATAACAAAACAAATTTAATTAAAATTTAAAATAAAATATTTAAAACGTTTGAATTTTGTTTCCTCTTCATCTCTTGATAGGCTTATTAATATTTAATCATCTTAGCTCATGTTAACTCATAGAATTAATCTAAATTAAGCATTAGGAAAAATTAATAAATAATGTCTACATTTTGTGGATTTCCATTACATAAAATGTATCATCCAAAAATATAAGTAGTTGCCATAATTCAGCATTCTTCGCTAAAAACTAATATTTACTTCTCATGGTATTAAGCCCCAAATAAAGAAATGCTTTTAGGCGCCAGCATTAAATAAAGCTGAGTGGCGTACGCTTGTTTTTAAATCGAAGAAACGCAAACTGTCATGGCGCTGCCACATCAATGAAAACAGTAATTGTATTTGACAGATGGCAACGCAGAAATGCAAAATCGATTAGAAAGCGTAGGCGCTTCACTGTTAATGTCATTTCAGCATGAAGCAGAGCTTAAGAATCGAATATTTTTGGCTTATCCAGCTGGTTTCGAATCGTCGTCGTCTGTCGTGTCCGTGTGCGAGAAATTGTGTATTAGACTTAATCGTATTTAATGCAAACAAATTCGGTTATAAATATGGCCATGTACTGCATAATAATATTTTCAATAAAAGAAATGCACAGGCGCTTGTAAAGCGACCAACGAAATAGAGTGCAACACATTTTCAACGTCTGCCGCCGTCTCGTCTCTCGGTCTCGGCCTCGGTTTCGGTCTCTCATTCGTCGCGAAAACACAGACGAAAGAAAAACGCAAAAGGCAGGCAGCAAAAATACGCGGGAAGCTACATTTTTCATAACTGCAACGCGCAAAAGTTAACAACAAAAACAGCGTAAGTAAATAGAAAACACAAGAATATGCAAGCCGAGTGCGCGAAAAGTTCCAAAAGCGATTTTGCACGAATTTGTGCAATATTCTAGTGTGTGTGTGCGTGTTTATGTGAATGTGTGTGTGTGTGTGTGTGTGTGAAAAAAATCTATCTCTTCGTTACGCATTTCACCCCTCAGAGCGCTGCGCTGAGTTGAGTTGCTTTTGCTGCTGCTGCTGCTGCTGCGCTTGGCAATGCGTTAGCAACGTTCAGGGTCATTGGTAGTACGCTGGCGTTGGCGTTAGCGCTGCTGACGACGACTGCAAAGGTGATTGCAACAAAAGTCAGAGCACGCCCCCTCGCGCCACTACCCCCCGGGCGAGTCCTAGTGACGCCCACGCTTAGTGCAATTATGAAAGCCTGACGGTAACGCCGACGTCTGCGTCTAGGTCGGCTTCTGCCTCTGCTTACCGCTTCGACGCCGCTGACCCGTTTTTGCGTATTCATTGATATTCTTCCTCTTCTTGTGTATCTGTTGTCTGTTGTATGTGGCCTGTCGCCGCCGCCGCCACCGCTTTACAGGTAAAACCTGCTAAACGGAATGTGAATGACCCCCAATTGCTGAAAGTGTTTTCTTTGGCCCTACGTTAACAAAAACGCGCTAAAAGTGAAATTGCGACAATTTAAATTACATCATTGCTCAGCTTTGCAGTTACATGCACATTTCACCGTTCGACGTTGCTTTGCTGGTTTCCACTGTACGCTCTTCTGTGCTTCTCTTTCGTTTTTTATTCTTTGTTTATATTTATACACACTTTGTTTTGCTTGTGCGCCGTCGTTGTTGTTCTTGTTGTTGCTGTTTTTGCGTGCACATAAAACATTTCTTGTATGTATTTATTTTCTTGTTTTTTATGCTGATATTTCCGAACGCAATTGGAGATTTGTTTGGAACGCGAGAAAATTACTCAACAAAATTGTTCTAATACGTACTACTTGTATATGCGTGTCTGTATGTGTGTGTATTTCAATTGCGATTGCCAAATACTAGATTTGTGCTGAATCAAGTCATCACACATATTAATATATTTATGCACTAAGGAGGCATTATTTATTCTCAATAAATGTCAATATTCGAACCGCAAACAAATAGACTGTCAAGAGCAGGAAGCGCACACAACAGGCGCACATACTATATGTACATGCACACCTATACATACATATGTATGTATATGTATGTGTGTAAATAAATATATATTTTTAAATCAAACAGAGAGTTAATCATCACTAGCTGCTCTGCAATGAAAAATTAGGTGACACGATGTTGTTCGACTTTCAAATACCCTATGCCATCAAATTTGTGTTCAAAGCTCTATTTTAATTACAAAATACATTTGTTTCCTCTAGCTTTTAAAGAATATTGCTAGCTTCGGGGCCGTATTAGTCTCTCAAATAAAAAACCCTGTGTCTAAAGAAAAGAAGCTGCGTTTCGAATAGGAAATAGTTTCGTCTCTCTATTATTGAAGCTAGCTTCTGGGCTGCATAGTTTCTAATATGCATAAAGTTTCTGCATTAAAGGAAACAAACAAAACAGGTGATGGTATGATATTTTTCGAGTTTCAATGTCTATGCCTTTTCCATGCCAGATGAAATTTAATTCATTAATATTTAAAAAAGTGATCATTCTCAGCCAAAAACTAAATTGAACGCGGTTAAACCACATAATGATATTGAAAAATAAATATAAATAAATAAATAAATTGTCATAAAAATATGTAATATTAATTTCTATGTGCCGCCCTCCTCTGCGCTTCTCATGCCGAACACTTAAAGAAAGCTGCCCTAAGCACCAAAAAAAATTATAATTATAATGAAAAATAAATAGAAATAAATAAATAAATTGTCGTAAAAATCATATACATTTTTATGTGTCGCCTTCCTTTGCGCTTCTCATGCCAAACACTTAAAGAAAGCTGCCTTAAGCACCAAACAGGTCATAATTATTAGGAAAAAGTTCTAAAAATTAAATGAAAGTTATAAAATTAATGTTAATTTAAAAATACTGCTTTCTGCGCTTCTCATGCGATGCACTTAACAGAAGCCCGCTTCAAACAACAAAAAATCACAATCATAAGGAAAAATAACTACATAGAAATTAATAAATTATCATAAAAGTAATATTAATTTCTCCTTAATAATCTCCTCAGCTCATTTCATGCCGAACACTTAAATAAACCCGCTTTAAGCGCGAAAAAGATCAATAATAAAATGAAAAAATAAAAAAAAAATAATAAAAAATTAAAATTAATATTCATTCAAAAACACAGCCCTCCTCTGCGCTTCTCATGCGAATCACTTAACTGAAGCCCGCTTCAAGCACCAATAGCTGATTTAATTGAATTTCCATATAACAAACATTGGACTAATCGCTACGAAAATTGCACAGTTTATATAAATCGGTCACGAAACAAACTGGACGGTACCCCTTGCTAAAAGATCGCAGTCTACTTGATACAAATGAATCAAATCGATCAGTAGAGCACACAAGTGCATACTATACTTCAAAATCTAATCTTCATGGCACATAAATGAGAGACTAATTTTTCATGTCAAGTGAATCAAACGACGCAAACTTTTCAGATAATTTTTGGGCCCACAAGTTGTGTATGTTTCTGAGAACAAATCAATCGTCAGGCTGGATTTGTCAATATTAGAGAGTCACTAGCCTTAGACTTCCTGATATCGTGCTCCTTTTAAACTTAAACACCAGTATATTTGAAATTTCTCATACTACCTGAGGCCGATGGATGAATGCACGCCAGTCGACAAAATCAGCATGACTTTTAAGTTGTACTCTTTTCAGTATCGCAAGAGTATAGAGAAACGAAGGCAGCATCTTAGAGTTCTTCTCGCCAGAATAGTTTTATGGAGCTCGCTGGCCAGTTCGCTTTTGGCGGTCGCTCGGAACGCGCGCTTTTCTTATTTGTTCGTGTCGAGGCGGAGCAGTGCGAGTGGAAAAAGCGTGAAAAATTACACGGAGAGAAGATGTGTGTGCCTGTGTTTATAGATGGAAATGCGTGGCGAGCATTTTATTTATAGCAATCAGATGAATACTTAAGTTTTCCCTTTGCGTATTTAACCGATTTAACATTTTGAAAAAGCAACAACAATCCAATTGCCGGAATAATTGCAGTTTGCTGCCAAAAAGGAAACGCCGCTACATCGGGCCAATTATATAATGGCTATGTAAATAGGGGGACGTGATTTCTTTGACATGTCCAGCAACAAGTTTAAACGCAGCTCGCCACAAGTGGCAGGCAATGGCGGTGGTGGCATGGCCTCGTCCACCATCTCCTCAACAGCCTCGAATCAGCCGAGGCGGCGTGTGAAGCGCTGCTGCCGGAATTTCGTCACATTCATGTGCACGCAGGTGGGCGTGGGCGCCCTAATTGTTTTCTATGCGATATGTGGGGCACTAACCTTTATGCAAATAGAACGTGAATATGTGGATACGACGGCGGCGCACGTTTTGGCGTTGCGTCAGAACTGCTCTCAGGAGCTCTGGTATATAACTGAGGAGCACAACATCTTCAATAAGTCGCAATGGGCGAATGTTACAAACGCCGTACTGCAGGACTATCAAATGCAAATAGCGGCCATCATTAAGAACGGCTATGTGGGACGGAGTCCGGAGCAAATCTGGAGCTTTCCGGCCGCCCTCATGTTCTGCCTTTCCGTAATCACAATGATCGGATATGGGAATATGGTGCCCCGCACTCCCTGGGGCAAGGGATTCACCGTCATCTACGCTACTTTCGGCATACCACTGTATATTCTATATTTCCTCAATATGGGACGCGTGCTGGCGCGATCCTTCAAGTTTCTCTACCGCTCCATGCACGATTGCACGGAGGAGCGGTCCTACGATGGGCGTCTGGATGCACTAGAGAGCGGCAGCTATGGCGGCATGAGCCAGCCGAGAAAGAAGGTCATTGTGCCCTCCACAGCCTGCCTGTGGGTCATCTTCTTCTATGTGCTGACGGGCACCATAATGTTTGCCAATTGGGAGAAATGGAGCTTCCTGAACAGCTTCTACTTCTGCATGACGTCCTTGTGCAAAATTGGCTTCGGAGACTTTGTGCCCGGCGCCTCACTGACCACAACCGCGGATGTGGATGCGGCTACGCAAAAGCTACGCGAGGACATCACCGCCGATCCCAATGAGGTGTCCCAGCTGCAAAGCATTACCGACCAGCACTCCAAACTGGCCATCAACTTCATCTATATGCTGCTGGGCATGGGCCTGGTGGCCATGTGTCGCAATCTGATGCGCGAGGAAGTGAGGGTCAAACTCAAGGAGATGAAGGAGGATGCCAAACTCTGCATGGAGGATACGCGCATGCGTTTTGTCGGCTGCTGTGGCGGACCGGGCGATGCTTATGACGATGATTACTATTAGAATGTGTGGCACGATGGTGGCGGGCGCTTGTTTGTTTGTTTCTTTGGCTTGTTAGTGTTTATTCAGAGTATTTATAGAGGCAAGTCTGTTGTTTGTCGGTTGGCGTTATTAAAATTTTTACGACTCTACATCGTGCTCGTATTGGCAGGTGTGTCTGCCTGTCTGTCTGGGTGCCGCGGTCATTAACAGACGCCTTTTAGATGCGGACATTGAAATTGAACTCGTTCTCGTGCATTACATTTTGAATATATTTGAATATTTTGAAAATAATTGGTATTTTAGTTAGTACCTGAACTGCCTTCTTAAAAACAACTATGTAGAAGTTCTTACTATCTGGGATTGCCATAATCGTGGGGATCATCAATCAATATTATTTGTGTCTGTCTTTAAAATATCTTTCCATAACTCGAACATTTCTTATAATGTTTATTCCTTTTACGGTTTTAAATTATATCTTTTTGGGAAATTGTAAAAAAAAGGTTTTCATTCTATAAATTTTTTGTGAAAAAAATTTCTAATTCCATTTGGACTTTTGGTTTAGTAATTCTGAAACAATTTGACAGTCCTTATGATAATATTGGAACATGCAGAAAGGCAAGCCTTATCCGTTGGAAAGTTGTGCGCCACACCAAATGCCTTGGAAAAAACTATTTCGATTCCTGAAAATTAGTTTTTTATCTTATGTAGAATTGATGTTTTTTAAAAAACAACCAAAGTTCAGAGATAGCGAAAGGACCAAAAAGACTTTTATTTGAAGAAGCAAAGCAACTCAAAATTAATTCCACATACATATGTATGTTTATAAAATCGAGTTTTGAAGAACTATCTGCGTCTAAAAGTGTTTGTTAGACTTACACACTAATTTCTCTGCTTCGACAATTCTCTAATTCTCAATATCATTTCCTCTCTTTCCACCACTCTGTAGCTCACCATTGATCAATTTCTGCAACTACAAGAGCGCATACGTAACTTCGAGGGCATGCTTGGCGGCGGCAGCGGAGAGCGTTTATGCACACCAAGCACCTCGGCGGGTCCATTTCGAATCTTCTCCGTGGCCGGTTTTCAGAATCGTGCCAATGACATTGTCTACTGTCCGCCGATTGTGCGTCAACAGTCGCAACATGTCGAGGACTCCACCGCCATTATATACTTCGGTGGCGATGTGCAGGACTTTCCGGAGAGCATGGAAACGAATCGCGACAGTCGAGGGTACATGAAGTATAATCTGGAGAATTCGGCAATATTGCTGCGTGAGGCGTTCCCACGTTCCCACATCATTGTCATACGACCGGTTCGGTGAGTAACAAAATGCAATTTATAATGATTAGAAAACTATAAAAATTAGAAATCGTTATTATCGACCTAATAAATCGGGCTTCAATAGAAGTCAAATTTAAGGGGAAAAATATTGAATTCGACAAATATGTTCTTCATGCGACATAAATGAATTATAAATGCAGCAGAAGTGTGTTTCGAATGACCATTTGACGCACCTTAAAGGCTTCAGAACACATGTTAAAAAGATTTCCCGATTCCACTTGTATATTCTTAGCTACTTGTATATAGAAATAGTAATCATATTATTTATTAGGCCTTTAATAAAATGAATAATAAAACAAAATGTTAAAAGCAATTATCGAAACGCCACCTAATTTCCTTTATGTTTATTCTCACATGTTAATACCTAAGAATACTATTTAAAATGTAATTCGAAATGGTTGAAAACAACAAAACAGAGAGAGTTTGAATAATTTATTAATTATATAGCAGGCAGTGGGGATACCTACGAGTATATTAGCAGCAAGGCAAAACTTGTCCGTCTGTATGAACATCGGTATTTCTTGAACCCTAACAGCTATGTTCTCCAAACTTTGTATCCAGACTTGCCAATATAGCGTATCCTTTTTCAAAGGTGCCATAGGAAAGATATCAGTTCGTAGACAAGATTGCTTTATTTCCTTCAATATCTCTCTTATTCTTAATCACTCTTGTAAACTTGTTCTAGGAAATCGGTAACAATTTGTTCTTCAATATTGCAATTCATTATTTTTTTCAGTATGGAATTCAAGACCTTTAGCTGCTTCGACAACTTTGTGCGTGGAAACAATGCCGGCGTGCCAGACCATACGCCGATGAACCATGCGTTGCAACATTTGGAAAAGTGAGTCAACAATTACAATTATAGTCTCTAGAAGAGTTATTAAATAACCGTTTTATATTGCAACTTTTCTATTCAGACTGTTGCAGAACTTGTCGCAACGCTTGATCTCAATACCCGAGAACGAGATACTCGACCAGGCGGCGCAGGCAGCCGCTGCAGCTGCCGCCGTTGCAGCTGCTGCTGCAGCCGCAGCTCTAACGCTCTCCAATGCGACAGCCAACTCGGACTCATCGTCGTCATCGTCTACGGCTAGTGATAGCAGCCAGGAGATGGACATCGATATTCTGCAGGTGCAGGAGAATGTCACAGTCGATGCAGATGGCGCTGTTATATTTCCCATAGTCGCTGGCGAATCAGCGGAAACGGAAACCAATAATGCGCACAGTGGGACAAACAATGCGACGGCGGCTGCTGCAGCAGTAGCAGCAAATAACAGCAGCAGCAGCAACGATATCACCGCCAACAGCAATGCAAACAATTCTCAAGAGTCACAGCAGCAGCAGCAACAGCAACAACAACAGCAATCCTCACAAGCAACAACGCCGCCAACAAACAACGTGGAACACTACAACAGTGGCAACAATAGCAATAGCAACAATGACTGCGCAGGCGTGGCAACAGCAACATCAGCAACACACACATCGCCGTCATTACAACAGCAGCAACAGTCTCGTGTAATTACCGATAGCAATCCGCTGTGGTGGCGCGAAAACCTAAATCTGGACAAGTCCAAGCTCGTGCTAATTGGCTTTAGCAAGGGCTGCGTCGTGCTCAATCAAGTGAGTCGGGTTTGGTGTAAAAATCGCTAACAAATGTTGTTCATGTCTCAAATAGGATTGTTGACAACGTTAAAACCGTCACAGTTGTAGTCAACTGTTTAGGAAAACTATCATTAAGTCTACAACGATCATATATAACTCAGACCTTAGTTTTGAACAGCCCAATTGGGAATAACTACAAAAAATTATCAATTTTGTTATGGAATCTACACCACAATACTTTATTGAGAAAATATATATGATATAACACCTGTCTAGATATAATAGAAGTTGGGATTACGTTGAAATACGTTTATATTCGAAATAACCTGAGACTACTACTTGATTCAAAAGAAGTGCCTAAGCAGATATCAATTGTGCTTGCTAGTTCACATATTCGTCAATATTTAGTCTTCACTTTTATTCTAAATAGATCAAATAATAATCAGCAAATCAGCCTTACAAATAGTTTTACACAAACAAGTCAATTATTTCTGTGTTTAAAGGGCTGCGGAAGCAAAGAAAAATTCATAAATATTTGCATGTCTGTCCCCATCTCACAAATAAAATCGTATAAAATAATTTAGGAAGACATGATGAAACTTATTAGCTATGCTAGCATTGATAATTCGCATTGGATAATACTTATTGATCTATTTATGAAATTGTTCTTATTTTTCACATTTCCTTTGGCTTTAAAACGTACTTGTTGCTCTACCAAACTATAGAAAGGATTAAGCAGAATATGTGCAATCATAATCGCTATTATTATATAGTTTTTAAAGTGAAGTCCTATCTTTATTTAAAAATTCTTATGGAATTTTAAAGTATAGCTCAACATTTCTATAGCGTATATCGATATTTTTGTACATGTCAACAATCCTAATGCCCGACTTTTTCAGACACGAGGCTAACTCAATAAATATTCCATTGTTTTATTTCAATTTTCAGTTCATCTACGAGTTCCACTATCTAAAGACACTAACGCCCGATGACAGCAGCATGTGTCGTCTATTGTCGAGAATTACAGACATGTATTGGCTGGATGGTGGACATGGTGGCCAGAAGAACACATGGATAACATCACGCAGCCTGCTGGAAACGCTCACGCGAATGGGTAAGTACAACCTGCTTGAGCGACCATCCCATAAACTCCCACTCTATGACTTTGTTTCGCAGGCATGAACATACACGTCCATCTGACGCCGTATCAAGTGCAGGACGATCGACGGCCCTGGATACGCAAGGAGGAGAAATTATTTACTGAGATGTTGCGCCGCCTTAATGCGCCCATTACAAGGCACCTTCACTATGACAACCAACCGGCCAATTTGATGACGCATTTCGAGGTGCTGCAAGCATTTTGTCAACACGTACACGCTCTCAATCAGCAGCAGCAGCAGCATTTGCAACAAGGCAACACACCGCAGCAACAGCAGCAGCAACAAGGCAACAATGAGCAATCACAAATTATATCGGCGACTGCAAACAATGGGGCGGGCAGCAGCAGCAACAACACAAATCTGGTGGATGCCAGCGAAGAATCGTCGAAGTGACAGCTTCAATTGCATCCACACCATCATCGTCGTCGTTTGCATGCGATGCGCAAAAGCACAGCGGCAGCTAAACGCAAGCAGCTGCAGCATCTGCGTCAGCAACAATTGCAGCAACACCATGGTGTTTCCACATCTCTTCTATCTGTGGCAGCAACAGCTTCAACATCGCGTTTGGCTGCAGCCTTGATTTCTTCAGCGGTTGCGCTCAGTGCTGCATCAACATCGGCAGCGGCTGCAGCTGCTGCAGCGGCAACAGCAGCAACAACAACGACGGCTACTATTGTAAATAAGTCAAATAATCATCAAAGCCATATGCAACAACCGCCACAACAACAAGCACACACGCCACTACAATTGCAGCCAGTCTATCATGCACATCATTCAACTCATCCACGCCATCATCATCATCATCAACATCACAGGCACAGTCATAGCCACGGCCACAACCACAGTCACAGCCACAGCCACAATCATAGCCAGAATCACAGCCATCAGCCAAATCATTCGCACAATCATCATCAGTGTCGCTCGAAACGTAAACTACAAAAATTGTATTATACGCTTTGCCGTTAGATTTTTATACCTTATTATTAATTGATAATTGATAATACTTTTAAATGTCACATACACATAACATAACATATATAGTTTTGTAGCTTTAGTTGAATGTCGCCTCTCTATCTCACTCTATTAACGGTACAACGATCATATACCATATATCTCAATCTTTCTTCTTCTTTTTTTGTTACTATTAAATCAAATCCTTCAAGTGAATTTGTTGTGCCAAGCAACAGGTATTTTTTTGTATATTTTTATATTTCAAATTACTTTTATTTTGGTTTTTTTCATCTTCCATTTATTACAATTGTCAAAATTATTCCCTCAACTAATAATTGTACAACAATTTATATCTCAGTTGATTGCATGGCACTTAATTGTATATGTTTTGCTAAATTATACTCTATATTTGTAAATCTTATATCTCATTTTTTGGGGAGAAACCATGATTTGATTGCTAAAGCTTGGAAATTGCAAATCAATTATTTGTACGAGTGAAAAATAGAATGTGTGTATATTTTTCCAAACTTTTCCTCTACACAGACGGTATATATATCTCATATTTATATTTCTCCTACAACATACAAATTGCTTGTATGTTAGTTATATTTTTCATAAATTCTTTTACATTTAAAATTATTTATTGTATTTTCGGCAAAAGATTTATTCTAAGCATCTTGTTTTATCTGGCCAGCCTAACAATCTCGATAGTGCAATATTTTTTCTAATAAAAGAGAATTCTTTTTTTTTCTTCGAGCGCTCATTTATTTTAACAAGGACACAAAATTCTTTTTAACTATTTATTGTTATTTAGACGCTTGTGATTTGATATACTGCTTGTATTTAAATTGTAGGATCGATTTCTTAATGAATTTATTTCGATGTTCACCCCCCATAACCATATCCATATAGACACTCTAATACACATCCACATTTATCAAGCTATATCCAACGTATTTAGACACACTGTGTAACAAGCAAAACAAGAACTCTGATTAAGTATTACTTAGCGTTTAGTGAGCATAATTTAAGTTAAAAACTTAACTGCAGGCAGGCGTGAATGAGCAGATTGGAAAATAACGTAAAAATAATTGAACCCCAACTACTGCGTCTAAAGAATGTATTGTATGTAATAATTTGTTGTAAGACTATAAAAAAGAAAACTTTTGCTCTATGTATCGTGTACGTATATATAGTCCATCGTTTCGGATTTAATGTGGAACTAATGAGTGGATCCATCTAAAAATGCAATTGAAAACAAATTGTCACATTATTAATAACAACAAATTAAACATAAACAAATGGCGAGTGTTCCTTATTAACGAGAAACTTTTAACGATATTCAGAAAAAAACTTGCGCACATTTCAACACAAACAAGAATCGATATTACACATAAATACATACATAACTAACACTAATTGATAAGCCGCTAAAGTTAAATCTAAATCATTAACAAATATTTCGTACCTTCGTAGAATTTGCAGTTCAAAATTGCGCTAGTATTTGTCTGTGTAAATTGTACGGCTTGGAATTCAATTAAACAAATTAGGCAATACAAAAACAAAAATGTATACACTCATCAACACAAACAATTTTCAAATGTGCTGCGAGTTTAAAACCAAAACAAAAAAAAACAAAAAATGAACAAGCGAGAGTTACATAACATAGAAGCTACTGCTAAGCTTCAATAAGAGCTAAATTTGTGCTTAGAGTTTATTTCTCATAAATATTTATGTAATAGAATGCTCTGCAAATTGCAAAGTGAATGATGATTTATCCCAAGTCTGGTAATAAAACAAGAACTAAACAAATAACTCAAATGACTTTGTATTCATCAAAAATACAGCTCGATTCTTTCCCTTTAACTACAACTTTCTTGCACGAATCGTTGTTAAGGGAGCTATATGATATAGTGCATCGATAGATAATGCAATTTTGTGAATGATATATGTGAAAAAGTTTTTGCTCATTTTGCAGCGATCGGGTCTACGATAGTTTAGTACATCGGCTTTGATGAATCTTTTGAATATCATGAGGCATTATTAGTTACGATAAATATAAAAATTATAAATAAAAAAGTTATCATGCTAGGATTGATATTTGCATCGATCGGTCCTGCTGCCGCTATATGCAATAATGTTATATGTTTGAAATACAATTAATCCGCATACGACTAAGGCTTCATACCAAGTAAGTTGTTCCTGGCTTACACATTTTTGGTGTACATACAGGCGGACATATCTTTCTATATACTCGCCTCTTCATGCTGATCGTATATGTATGTATTACATTTTTGTGCCTATCTTTTAGGTTATCAATATTTTCATGTAGTTTTTTTCTGTGAATTATTTTAAAACGATCGTCTTCCCCGAAGCTGTGTACACATTACTCAACGACATTTTTTCCCTCAATGTCACGAGTTTTAATGAAGAAATCTATCCGAAGACTGATTTCTTTTTGAAGAAAATATTTGGGCTGCCTTAATAGTTTGATTTAATTTAATAACCAAGCTCTGACGTGGAATATTCAAGTTTTAACTTTCTTTTATGGTTGATTATTCTACCACAAGGCAAAATCAGTTTCAGGAATATAACAATCGTTGCGCGCAAATTTCTTCTCTATTGCTTTCCCACCTCCACCACACAGCGCTGCCAGATGGTCATATTTACTTGCTACGCTTGTCAACATACAAACTTGACAGAATTTGAAGCCGCACGCAGTTACATGCGTCGTAATTGCAAAGACAATTCTACTTTGTTGTGAATTTTTTTCTTTCGCTTTATTCGAGGTATATTATGGATCTAAGCATTGTAAAAGAAACTGAACGATGCATTGCCGGTCCGTTGCAAATGGACGAACGGGAATTGCAAATTGTCTTGGACTTTTTACATTGTTTGGAAACCGGCAAGTGTTGTAAGCCCAATGGAAGCTTCTGTGAAGTTTTTATTAAGCTCGTACTGGTAAGCAAAAGTTAAACCAAAAATAATTTGATCAAGCGTGATGTCTACTTGCAGATGCTAAAGAATCAACATAAATCCGCCTTAAATTGGCCAATATCTGGCAAAGTCAACATAATTTCGATCCATTGCGGAAACATCGTTTATCGTACAGAAGTCAAGGATAATTTGGCTAAAGTATGGGGATCAGTAGATGGAGATCGCAAGGAAGCCCCCTTAGCGCTAGCTAGAATTTCAGTGGATGCGGGCGGCGCAACAAAACTAAAACTGTACCTGCTGTTAACAGATAGGGTTAAGACAGTGTTTGAAGCTAACGACATGCAAGCCCTGAACAGGCTAACTGGATCGCCCTCACATGGGCAAGACCATGGCTTTCATTTTGTGATGGGAAACGACGGCTTAATGCTTTCGATGTGTGACTGGGCCAGTGCTGCGCTGGATTCCACAACTTTCTTTACATTGGAAAAAGTTTTCAAGGATAAATTTGGACTTCAAACCTCGTCCCAATGCACTCGCTTCCGGTCAGTGGAGTCAGAGTTTGGGACGGCAGTAAATAATACCACAGTTATGACCAGCCAGCATCCAAAACAGCAACAACAGAGTAATAAAAAAATGTGCATAAGTGTTGCCCCAGAATTCAGTGCAAAAGGTATATTTTTTAGTCGCTTAGAAAGCAATGATCCTATGACCGTTATACCGTATTCTACATTTTGAATTGCTACAATAGTTCAATAGTTACCATTGCAGCTATATGATTTAGTTCGATTTAATTTAATTTCAAATGTTGATACATTACATACAATTTTTACACATTATATATGCTAGATTCGCGCGCTATAGCTTTTAAATGGAGTCTGCAGCGCCTTTTTTAAACAAACATTTTGTTTTTAAGAATTTCTTTAGCAATTCATCTCATGTTTATCATTTTATCTGATACACTTGTGATATTCTGATTGAAATGATAATTTTCCTATTCCGACGATTCAAAATTCCTTTTTCTGCTTGCAGGTTACGCTAGACCTATGCGTTCACTTGGTCCTGAAAAGGTCGGGAATGTGGTTAATACGGTTTCGAGAGCTTCAGAAGAAAAGAAAGGCATTGCCAATAAAACAAATTCGGATACAGTTCATGAGCCTGAGCCCTTTGATGGTGACATCGATTATTTTGATCTTGAAGAAACTGAGGACTATGTAAATATATTCGAATGGGGAGATGTTGGACACTATGTTTTGGTTCATGCCACTTTTGCATTGCCATTAGAGATGCGGAAACTCCATATTGACATACGAGATCAGCTCTACAAGGAGCTTTTCGACTCCGCCGTGCAATTGCAGCTGGAAATGGATCCACCAGCTCTGAATTGGTCCGACACCTTAAGAGTATGCTTAAAATCTCGTCTCTACTCGCTTCGGAATGACAGCAATGGGAATTGTCTGCTCGACGCAGCCAAGCAGGCCACCTGGGGTGGTAACGATAGCAAAAATATACTAAGGAGTGCGCTAGCCAATACCTTGTATCGGCGTCAGCACCTGTAAGTAGTCCTATTTCAACTGAGGTTTGCTATGCTATATACGAATGTTTGAATAGTTTCTTTGACCGATGGAAGGAGCACGAAAAGCGTCATATGCCATTCGCACTGGACGATTCGCAATGGATCTCGGAGTGGAAGAATGTTGTGATGTTGCCCAGCGAGCCAAGAAAGCCATTAGAGCAATTTCATATACTCGTGCTGGCCCATATTCTCCGACGACCAATAATTGTCTATGGCATTAAAAACGTACTTAATAAACGTGGAGAGGTTATTGACTTTGCACGCTTCCAAGGTACATGTAGAGGCCGTGCACCATTCTCTATAATTTTGCAAAATTCATGCAAGAAGTTCAGTAACTATAGAATTTGATGTATTTATTAACGTCACTTCTTAAATGCTACTTCATGTGTAGATAGATATACATAGGTACACACTGAACATATTGTGTCATAGTTTTGGATGGTCTAAATATTTCTGTAAGCCATTGTAACGCTTCGGATGATGAAGTCATTCAAAGACGGCTTCAAAATTCACAAACTATGGTTCAGAAAACATAATTCGATTTAATAAATAATAATTTTAATTTAAAGTATAGTTTAAGATACAGATACACGAATTATTCCATTCATACTTAAACAAGGAGAGATTATTAAACGTTTAAACATCATATTTCGTGAATTGTAAATATTGCTTTACATTTAAGAATTCTTAAACAGAATTATAACAATTTGTATATACGTGTATATATATTTCACAGGCGTTTATATACCGTTCTTATTGGCGCATAACTTCTGCAGCAAATCCCCGATCGCACTGAGCTATACGCCCGGACACTTTACCGCATTGGTACCCCTAAAATCGATGTTGCGTCGCGATAATGAGGTGACCTACTTACCCCTCGTTGACTATAGAAAGGAACTCTTGCCCATACACTTTCTCAACCAAACGGATGTAGGTATTCTATTGGTCTGAAGTATTCCTCTTTCTAACAATACATTATCTGCTCAGTTTGGCAACGAAGAGTTCATTATGAGGCATTGGTTGGATGTCTGTGTTGTCGAAGCAGGACTTTTGGCAGCTAAGCAGACAGGATACAATCAACCCTGTTCCATATTTCAACTGATGAGCTAGAGAAAGCTAGTGGCTGGAAAATCTTACAGATATTAAAACTTGCGGAAGACTTTAAATTCAACTATTTACATATTTCAGGTGTGATATGAGAAATTATGAGAATCGTATTAATGTAATTCATTTAATGATTAAATGATGAGATCTTGAATAACATTTTAATTCAAAATCATATTCATGCTGATTGTATTTCACGTTTTTATGTTAAATATTATTTATTTGATATTTTGTTGGTTCTTTTCAAATTATTTGAATTTATTACCTAATCTAAGCGGATATTATCCGCTTACGCATCTCACGCAAATTTGTCTTCCACGTAACAAAATTGCATTGTAAATTAAATATTTCAATGCTTGTTTTCCCATTTGACTACTAGTTTAACAATAATTGAATTAAATTAATTCTATCCACACAAAATTGATATTCGCAATATTGTTAGTAATCTTTCTTCTTTTTTCCGGAAAAAATGTATGTCGCTGCGACTAATATTAGGCAGTGATTAGTTATCATAAATATATAATATATACAGCCGTCTAAAGAGAAAAATAAATTGTTTTGGTTTTCTAATCGCTACATTTACAATTATGTAGTATATTTTTTTTTTTCGTGCTAATATTAGTATCTACACAGCACTTCAAACTTAATAAGATTATATCCTATATGTGCTATAGAATGGAGGGTGATCTTTCTACTTTGCAAAATTCTTTTAAATTTATTGCTTAAGAGAAATATAATGTTGAGTTCAGCTTCATTCATCAGATTAGTTCATGGGGGAAGTCGTAATGTTAGTGCTTACGTATTATGCTTTATTTGAACTACTTAGGTTGTTAAATGTCTTTTGTTTTAGAATAAATTACAATTTTATCGCAATTCGAGGCAAAACATTACTACAAACTCTCGCTGGTAATGCGAGAGACAGACTTCGTAATTGTTGCAATTCATTAAAATGGAGTGCATTCCGTTCAGTTTGCGATTGAGAAATGGGTGGTTCCCTGTTTGTAAAGCTACCTAAGGTAATTCCTGTTTACTACGCACATTTATTTGGGCATTGGATGCCAGGCGTTGTCCACTCATCGCTGCCATCGCAGCAATCACAGACTTTGTCGTTGACGCGACTGCTCGGCACATAGATGTCGAGTCCGCGTCCGGTTATGTGACGTTTTTGGTATTTACAATAGAAGCGTCCGTTGGCGCAGGCATTGGTGCTGGGCTCGTCGGAGCCATCTGTCAGACAATCGCAATAATTGTCATTCATTTGGTCGAAGGGGATTTCCTTACTTCCGTCCAAGCAGGAGAACTTGCCATCGAAATTGGGCTTGTACGCATCGTAGTCAAAGAGGCGGGTACCGCTGTTTTGTGTTGACACAATTCAATAAATTGACAACAATGGGATCGCTTTAAATAGATCACAGCTTTTCATACCGTATTATTTTAATTGGCTGCTCAGCCGCCGCTCCCGTACTGTCAGCAATCGCAGCTTCCGCGTCTCCAAAGTCGTAATCCTGTTTGCTTCCAAGCGCCTGCATCATCTGTTTATGCTTCTGCTTCAGATGCTGTAAATTCCACTTGGCATTTACATTTGGCAATTCATTGATAGAGCTAGCCTGATATATTATAAATGATATGCCAACTAAAATGATCAGTAGTAGTATCATTTTAGACTTTTGTTTGTAAAATGGCTTGTAGTAGATGTTTTCGCGTTTAACCCATGTTTTGCGCATTGTGATTGTGTCTACCTATAAATTTTTATAAATAATTATTAATTTTTAGGTGAAGCTAACAGAAATTTAATTTGTTTATATTTAGTTTAATGGTGCCGCAAACGCCAACATGTTTTTTGTTGTTGTCTGTAAATAAAACTGCACAGTCACAACGGCACGCCAAGAACTTTCGACGTTTACCAGTACATAGTGCGCATTAATGTCTGCACGTTGTGCAGCACTTTTTTCAACATTTTATTGTTGTACCTCTTCGTGTTTTTCAGCTGATTTGTTGCAACTCTTTGGCAAAAATCGTATTCGTAGATGCGCAGCCATAATTCAGAAAATATTAAGTGTTAACCTTATGAGGTAGCTCAGATTGTACAGAAAATGGATCAATAAACGTCACAGCGTCTACACACTAATTGGATTTGCTTTTTAAAGCTGGTCGACAGGAAACGCTTGGCTTGCTGCGTTTTCAACATAGACTAAGAATAAGAAAAAGACTTGATTCAGAAAAGCACAACAAGGAACATACGAGTGGGAACAGCATTTGGAAAAGAAAAAATAGCGTGAAAAGTAACCATTATGAAGGCCTCCAAAACACGCGCTGCTCGACTGACTAGCCTGACGGAGGACATGTTTATAATACCAGAGGATGCGCCATTTCGGGCACGCTTACATCTGCTCTTTTCACAAATCGAAAAAGAATTCGAACAGCTATATGTGGAGAATCTCGCACGTTAGTTAAAATTTGCATATCTTATCTATAATAATGATCTTGACATTTCTCTTATTGCAGTGCAAGATAAATTAGACAATGCCATCAGCAGTAAGGATGCGTTAACTGCTTGTGAACAGCGCGCAGGTGGTGGCGTTTGTAACACTCTGGCTGCTGCCACTTCCACATGCGCTACACCTGCTACACCCTCGGCCACACAATGCGATGAGGTGGGCGGAAGTCTATTGGCAACCGCCACCACTGGCCCCTCAAGCACACACAAGAGTCTCAAGGCCAAGATAAGCAGCGCCACAGGTGGCAGCAAAGTGAAGGCAAGCAACAAAATCAAAGCCCAGACAAGTCGCATAGTATCGAGTTTCAAGGCACAGACCGTGGTCAGTTCAGTGGTGCGTGAATTCGGTGGACACAAGGACGGAATATGGCAGGTGGCGGCAAAAGTGGGACAGCCCATAATAGGTACCGCATCTGCGGATCACACAGCCTGCATATTTGGCATAGAAAGCGGACGTTGTTTATTGCAGTATCAGGGACACGCTGGCTCTGTGAACTCCATCAAGTTTCATCAGAATCGGGATCTCGTGCTAACGGGAAGTGGTGATGCCACAGCGCATATTTGGCAAGCTGCTGTCAATTGGGAAGTGTCCAAGTAGGTGGTAATTTGACGCGTACAATTATAAAGTTCCTGTTTCCTCTTCTTTTAAACTCAAGTTTCAATAGAATTGAAATTTTATTACAAGCTATTCTTACTGCCAAGTGTTGTTCCGATTTGCATTCGATAGAAATTGGAAACGGGAACTATACTCTTTTTTGTACATATGTATGTATAAAAAAAATTCCTAATAATATTTCACTGTTTCACAGAAAAGTGCACTCTTCGGAGGAGGAATTGGATGACAGTGATGGGCAGATAGAGGATCGAGATCGGGTAGACACTTTACGTACTCCAATATGTGAGTTTGCAGGTCCTGGAGGGCATCTGTCAGTTGTTGTTGCCGCCGATTGGTTGCCCACAATGGATCAGATAATTACCGGCAGTTGGGATCGTACTGCCATCTTGTGGGATGTGGAGACACGTGAGCCGCTCCAGCCACTCACAGGACACGATCATGAACTCACCCATGTATCGGCACATCCCACGCAGCGATTAGTCGTAACAGCTTCCCGAGATACCACCTTCCGCTTGTGGGACTTTCGTGATCCGATGTCCGCCGTATCGGTGTTTCAAGGACACACTGAGACGGTCACCTCCAGCGTTTTTGCACGCGACGACAAAGTCGTTTCGGGCTCGGACGATCGCACCATTAAAGTTTGGGAGCTGCGAAATATGCGCTCGGCATTGGCTACCATACGAACCGATTCGTCAGTGAATCGATTAGCCGTTTCCACAGGCGGCATTATTGCCATACCGCATGACAATCGTCAGATACGGTTATTCGATTTGAATGGACAGCGAGTGGCGCGTTTGCCACGCACCAGTCGTCAGGGTCATCGGCGCATGGTATCCTCGGTGGCCTGGGCTGAGGAGCCGCACATGAACTGTGATTTGTTCTCTTGTGGATTCGATCGTCGCGTATTTGGCTGGTCCATAGTATTACCAAAGGATAATTGAAAATTACTTAAACATTGAGCTGCGAGACGGCCTACTAATACCAACTGAAAAAACAATCCATAGTAACTCTTGATGCATAAACATTTGCATCGAATTAGCTTGAACAAAACTTATGCGAATATCTTTAGAATATATCATCTTCAGTGTTTAGTTGTTATCGAATACATAATCGGTGCTCGTATAGTTTTATCCGTACATACGAACTATAAAGTATTACACATACTATTAACATTAGATAAACTTTGCAATCATGCAAAGATAACTTTAAATGTTAAACAACTGTTGATTTTATGCCAAATATTTATGGTATGCATATGCACTTAATCATTGTTAGTAGTATAACATTAGTATAACATATAGTTATATTCTGTGCATAATTGCATTACATAAGAAGGATTTCCTTGACTGCTCCTTTAATATCAATTAGTTCCGATACAATGTTGTTTTTTCTGTTTGTTTTATAAATAGTTTTCTTTGAAAGCCATAACTGTACTTCAAACATTTTAGCTGTGTGTTATTAGAATAACTTACTTTATATTATTGTTTAAGGCAATAATGTTAAATAAAATAAATGGAATATCTAGTGTTTAATCCATTGATTGAAGCAACAAATGGAACATACATTTACTAAGTATTAAACTTAATCAGTGGAATGAATAACATCTTATTCCCTTGTTCAGAATATGAATATCCCTATCAAAGAATTAATTTGGAATTGAATTTGGGAAAAAAAAAACATTACCTTCAATTTATACACAATACAATAACATGTCTGAATCTGCCTCTAGCAGCACCTATCGGTATATTGTTTACTCGAATTATGCATTTAAATACACCACATCAACATTTATGGCACCAATTTAACGAATTTAGGGCATTCCATAAATTTAGTATTAGCCATTCATGGAAATGTTGTGCCACTTGCCTAAGATAAGCAGCCAGCTTCAATATGTAAAAGCATTTTAAAAATTGTCCCGTAATGCTGAAGAGAAGAAACATAATTATAATCATATTATTGTCGATAACTGATATTGCTGTATCGTTTCAGCTAAGGAATAAAAAGTATTTCCGAAGATACATATGTGTTTAATGGTGTCTGCCTATACCTCCGATAATTAATCATAAATTAAATTGTATTTCATTTTGAATATAAATTCATAAACGAACTGAAATATGATAGAAAATAGCTATATTTCAAAGATATTTTTAAAAGATTTGATAGCAGAAATTTTTCAAGTGTTATCTATAGTTTGATATAAGTATTCGTATAGCATAACATTGATGACTATCTCTATACGTTACAGTCATAAAATTTGTAATATCTTTTGGCAGGTTATAAATTTAACGATAGATTTAAATTAGGCGTTGCCACGTAGCTTAAATTATTGAATTAGGCAGTCTGGCAAGATAAATGTGATTAGAAATGCGGGCGACTAAAACGGCACAATATCTTATAAAATTTGTTGTCAAGACCCGCATTTCTATCTATAGATTTATTTCGTCAATTTTAAGCCTATCACAAATGAAACCAAAACAAAATGCGCATCGTTATCAAATCTATAGTCACCTACTTATCGCCTATCAATTCATGGCATTAGCATTCATTGAACAGTTATTAATTAAATGTGATAGTGTCATAGAAGTAAATTAAAAGTGAGAGAGAGAGAGAGAGAGAGAGCGTGTGTCAGACCTACACGTACTAGTAAGACTTTCGACTTCTGCAGTGCGATTTGTGATAAGAGACCATGAATTGATCATAACTAACATGCGTGCTAGATGGAGACAGAGTCACAATACTCCAACACTTACAAAGATAAAGTACTTCTCGCTGAGAGAGAGAGAGAGCGAGAGAACACAAGCTCCTACTACTACATCCACAACACTTCAAGTTGGGCGCCAGCTGAATGCAAAAATCACAAGCGAGCGAGCGCTGGTGCTGACCAGACGTCTACCAATTCATTTCGCCGGAGATCGTTTTGTAACACCAACAGCGACAAATAAGAAATAAGAAAAAACAAGTTCTAAATTTAACGCACGTACCGCTGGGTATCTTGAATTTGTCGTTGGTGCTGCGAAGGTAAGCGAAACAAAATCACCAAAAATACTACAAACAAATGGGCAAACAATAAAACGACAGCAAAAATAAAGTGCGAAAAAAATTAAACCAGAAAATCGTGTGTTTCAAGGTGATCTTCACAGTTCTAAAAACCTTCTTCAAGGAAATAAAAAAAGAACTACGTCATGTTTAGTGACAGTAGTAAGTTGTGGAAAATATGCGGGGAAACTGCTAAGAACACGTGCCAAAGTGCGCGCAAATTGCAGTAATTTTCATGAAAATAATCGTATTTTTCGCACTGAAAAAACAAAGCACGTGATCGGTTCTAGCCAGTGTTCAGTTTGAGCTCCGATGGGGGGTCATGTGAGCGGCCACCGACTGGCGACTGCTGGTTGGTCGTGCGCCTCTTGTCAACGCAGTGCTTTGTGTTGGCGCTCCCACCACCACCACCACCTGCCAGCGTTACCAACAAAACCAGTGATACCTGCGAGAGCAGCTCAGTGCATGTTTGTGTGTGTGTGTGTGTGCATCTCAGTCACGCATACTGCTCGTTAGTCAGCAGTTCGAGGCGAGCATGTAGATATGTATATGCGCCTGTGTGTGTGTATGCCTGTGTTTGTTCAGTAGCTCGCCCAGTGGCGTCACAAAGAGAGTTTAAGTTTTATGCAATCGTAGTCGGTAGCTACCGTATCATGTGATCTCTTCTCGACTGGCTAAAACTTGCCAAAACTTCTAGTAGAAATCGGATTTGTAGAGCCAACATCTCTCCTACAAATGTTTATACCTATAATCCATCATTTAAAATTATCTTGAAATAGCTTCCTCATATGGGGGCAATAAATTTCATTGAATTATTATTTATGGGCCTTTGGAAAAATAATAAACTACGCACACACTCCATTTCAATCAATCAATCAATGAAAAATATAAAATTGAGTCAATCGTACATTTGTTTATGAATTAAATCGCCTTCAAATCGTCCATACCCAATTTGTCGTGGTATCCCATTTGAAGTGCCCGATACTTATCAGATTTTTGGTTTATTAGGCGCTTCAGAGGTGCTCGAGTCGAGCGCAGCCACTTATGCAACTAACTTTCTTGGCTGCGTGCCGCCTGCCTTATCAGCAGACCCGCATTCTGACGTCAGACTGTGAAGCTTAGCAGCCTAACGAAACAGATTTTCCAGCTTTTCATGCCGCCACTGCAGTGCATTGCTTTCTGAAGGCTCCTCGGCTGTTCGTCTGTATTAGTTCAATTGAATGGCAATTTTAAAAATCGAATGTGCGACAATTGCCTTAAATAAATGATGTGGGGTGCCTATACAAAGCGAAATTCTTAATTACTTTCCACACACTCCTCACCCCCCCAGGGCATGGGCAATGAAAAATGTCATAAAAATAAACATAATAAAAGTAATAATACAAATTAACAAATAAAAAAGCTGCGAACGCACAAAATACGCCCGGAGAGCGCAGCATATTGAGAACCCAAAGGCCTCGGCGCGAGAAGCAAAAAAAAAAAAATGAAAAAACAAGTTAAGGTCGCGCGAGCCCGACTCTTGTATACCCTGTAGCCACACCTCTCTCTGTCACAGTATAAACTAGTATATTGCATCAGTAGCTTATATTAAGGTACTATATGATTAGCCGATATTAATAAAACTTACGATTATGATGAGGCATAATAAAACCAACAAGTTAGCCTAGTAAGCTATATAAGCAGCTATAAAAGCTATAAAACATGTTTAGTTTGGTGCCCCTACCTAGTAAGCTCTCCAAACTCATATGGTCGGACAGACGGACGTTTTTTTTTTATCGATTCGTCTATGGTCTGCCACGCCTTCTCTTGCCTTTTTGCGCGTTCGTTCATTCTTCGCGTAAAGGATATACTACAATTTAACTTTAGATGTAGCCGATGTTTTGAGTCGGACGACGACAAAGACATGGGCGTCCGCTATCGCGTGCTAGCTTTTAGGGTGCAGTCAGAGCTAGTCAGGAGTGCGGGAAGGGTGGTGGAAACTCACACTATTGCTAGGGCGTCAGCGTTACAGCTGAACGGTCGCGCGCGATTGGGCAGACTACACTAAAGAGCATAGTTTACTGGACGGACTCAAGTTTCACGAATAAAAGAACAATAGAAACAACAGAAAGTATAAACGTTCGAGAATTAATATTTTCAAATGTTTATTGTAAAAATTAAAAGAAAAATGTTCAATGAAGGAAAAGCAATATTGTTCGGATAAAATAACTGTTTAGTGGCAATAATCTAAAGCTTAAAAACTTTTAATTTCATATATGTTAAAAGATTAGAGTGATTAGAAATTAACTAAAATTAATTATCTAATTAGGCACTTTTAAAACTCTTTTTGGACATTTAATATTTGAAACAAATATGTACACTTACATATCTAAAATAATGCAAACGAGGACAATTTAAAAAATATTTCATTAGTAGAATAAAGACACACTTTCCGTTTAGGATCGGCAAAAAACTAATGCTGCCTAATGTACATACATATGTACAAGTATCTATGAGTACGTCACAAATTCGAGCTGCAGGCTCACCCACATTAGTATTTCGATTAACGAAACAAAACCAAAAACAAAAAAAAAACACGAAAGGCACGCAAGCCAACATATGTATGTATGTATGTGTGTGTGTATATAAAACCGCGTGAACATTTTTATGTATGTTTGTTTGTATATTGCTATGTGGTGACATGCAAACATATACTTACACTCTCTACTCTCACTACTCACTGCTCACTCAAAAGTGACCAACGGAAAGGCAAAGTTAACGGCTGACTGGAGACCGAGAGACCAAAGTAAGAGAAAGAGAGCCGGCCAGGCGCAGCGGTTTGTTTAGTTGTTGTTTTGAAGTCGGACTGGTTTACAGTTGGTTTTAGTTGCGTGCGTGTTTACCTGGAATTGAACGAATAATATTATTTTTTTTATTCATTTGCAAATAAACATAAAAAATATTGAGTAAAAATATAGCAATAACAAGGCGAGTAGCAAAGCAACTTTAACGAATGACGTTTAATAAAAATGAATAACTTGTAAGCAGCCACAAAAAAAAAACGCAGTATTTTCGCAAAAACAAATCGACCTGTGGCTCTAGAAACAACAAATGCTAATCAATTTCCGACAGAAGTTTATTATTATTCCACATACTTGCAAAGTGCACATTGCCTGGCAGTGTAAATTAAAGTAGTTCCACGTAAATCTACACACAATTTTACATACATATACTATATTCAGATACATATGTATGTATATCTATGTATATACATACATACATACATGTGTTTGTATGACCATCTAATTTCTGTGTGTGTTTGTGTTTGTTTTGCTACTGTTAATTGGGTGTCATAATTTGCAACGAATAACAGGCGTTTATTGGAAAAATTAAACTTATTTACTGCCCAACAATTAGGACCGTAATGAAATCGGCGTTATTTATGCGCCCTACCTATCATTGCAATACAAAGCTGGTGATAATAAGAATTCCTATATGTATGTACATATGTACATGTATGTATGTTTACATAAATAAATAAAAACTTTAATCAAGTAAACTCAACATCAAAAGCGTTTCGGTGTGATAAAAAATAATGTCAGCAGAAATCGTAAAGCAATATACAATATACATATGTATGTACATACAAGTATATACATACATACATACATATACAGAGCCATAGCTAAATAAACAAGGAACGCTTAATAGGAGACGGGTGCTTAGTCATCAGTATTTATAAACAATTTAAACGGGCGTTGGCGACAAATGATACATTTTTTGCCTTTTTATTTTATATACATATATGTATAGTATGTATGTACATGTGTGCATATGTAGATACATACATACATATGTACATACCAAACAAACTGTTCCATTTTCAAGAGCTGCTGTGCGCACTTAATAAAAACTTCCAACAATTAATAAAAAATGAATATCTGGTGGTCGCCACCAAAACACACATTGTACATAATCGTTTATATGTACATACATATAAATGTACACATATGTATATGTATAAATGAAGTTTTTCCCTAGAGAAATTCCATACGTTAATTAGCCGAATCAAACTGCCTCGATCTGGTCTATAGACATACGTACATGTATACATAGTAGATACTATACTTGTATGTATGTATGTACGCAAGCTGAACACCTTATGGTCCGTTCTATGCTTTGGCTAACATCCAAGAGCAGCAAATATTTTGTGTACATACTTATATACTAATACATACGTATGTACATGTGTAGACGGGCATACATACATTATTATTTGAGCGTCGCATTTACAAATGATTTAGACGAGGTGCAATAAACCGTGCCTATTTTTATATAAAGAATTGACACAGTGGTGCTCATCTGATTGCAAACAACAGTTATGGCGGACCTGCGGATTCAATTCATTCAATATTTAGTCATTCTTCAATCCCAAACAACAACAAACAGCTATATACTCGTACATATGTACATACATATGATCCGTGTTCCTTTATTTATTTTAAATATTTCATTTTATCGCAGTTTGAAATTGTGCTTTCCAAGCTCAAATTTAAACAAGTTTCATGTTTAATTATATAAGCAGGGCTTGCTGATAAATTTATTCGCTAAAGCGGTGCATTTGTGAATAAAGATATCTTGGAACCTTATATACTTTTATGAATTTCTAATTCCACTGCGCAATTCTTTTGTATAACAGCGGGTATATTTTGTATTATTATCTTAAATACTTCTACATACATATATACTTATATATTTATTTATCCGTATGGCTCGGTAAAACGATAAAAAAGACGAATAAATGAAAATCCCAGTTAAATGAGGACATATTTGTAAAATCATTCAAACATTTTAATTTTCGTCGGTGTAGATATTTTATTCTATTCTACTTAAAGTAGAGAAAACTCTTTAACTTTTGATTACTGTTGTAGTAAGGTTTTGTAGGTGAAATACCAGGACCAGTCTAGCTTTCTAAGAATTTTTATAGTACACTTATAGCTGCTGTGGGCGTTTTCACATTACATCCATCTAACTTCTCGGAGTTTGAGCTAAACTTGTCCTCTTTGGTTTTGATAACCGATCTTCAGCTGTATTTGTTAATAATAAGCTTCTTTAGAAAGTTGCATTTATGGTTTCCGATTCCAAGCGGTACTTTTTAAAGGTTTTCTATGGGCGTTGGGATTTTCCAGACTGCTTGCCGACGCAACTTAAGTGTCTAGAATAAAAATAAACCCATAAAAACCCATGATAACAAATGAACTAAATTTAAATTGCATATAATAGTACACAGCTTTTCGGGCATGTGATATCCCTTTATGGGAATTTCTGAATGTTTTTGTTAAAATTAAAAAGTTAGATAATTGAATGCTTTGAAATTAGAAATACTGTCTTAATTTTTGACGATGTTTTAAAAAATATCCAAATGACCATGAGCCGGCAAACAAAGCATCAAGAAGTAACTATTTCAAAAATATTTTTTGTATGTACATTATCAAAATATAGTAATATTTTTAGGCGTCTCATACACAATCTATTTAAAGCCACATATTACTTAATGAAAAATTAATGCAGAAATCGATTTTTTCGATATATTTCTCCTTTTGAAATTAAAATCTTTAAAATAATTAGTTTGCAATTCGAACTATGTGTTTACAGTTAATTTGAAATAAAAAAATAGATTTTACAAAGATTGGTAGATATAGCGGAAAAAAGGCAAATAGAAAGCTTTTATCTATATGGGTATTATCTAAAAGAATTGAAAAAAAAGAGTTTAAATTCAAAATAAATTGTGACCTTTAGCAAACGAAATAATTACAGTAATAGGGTTAATAATTGAACTACCGTTTCTAATCAATTAAACAGCAGTGTACCAGAAACGGTCTATATCGTAAACATTTTATTTCCACCACAAAGCAAAAGCTAATTCTTGGACGTACCATGAAAGTCGCCCATTAAAGTTCGATAATGTGCGCACGGCTGCCGTCGCCTATTTTGTTGTCATCATTGTTAGCGGCGGCGTTATTTTGTTGTACAATTATTCACACACATGCATATGCATATCTGTACATACATATGTATGTATGTATGTGTGTATATCGAAACATATTTGTGGTTGTTGCGTCGATGTCGTTGACTGTTTGTTTGTCTAGCATTACGATGATGATGTCACAACAAACCTTGTATACATTTTGGCCAAAAGTTGCTACCAACTAATCGACTACTTGCTACGAACCCTACTCGCAGCCACAACGTCACTTACATATGTACTCATGTGTATATACATATGTATATAGTGCACTAATATTGAATCGAAAAACATTAATCACTTGCATTATCAGAGTGCCGGTGATTTGAAGCAAAACAGAAAGGGCCGAACAGACTGTACAAGTATTTGTCAAACGGGACGGTTTTTGATAAAACGACAATTATCATTTAATTTGTTTAATCAGAGCGAGCAGAGTTTTGTGGTTAACCCTTGCAGTGCAGACTACTTAACTGATAAACATGTTTGACTTCTATGGAGTGGCGGGGGCGGAAGCAGGGGATTCCGGCCGATTGCTGCCGTTTCACTTGGCACGTGTGCCAGCGTTTTGTCAACTCGAAAATGCAATGGCAACAAAAAAGTTCCAACATTTGATTCGTGCATACCCTTTATTAGGAATTTATGAGCGCGACTCTTCCTTCTGCCGTTATTTGATATTCATACATATACTTGTAGTATACAGGGAAAACTCTCTTGGTCGGACACTCGCTGTCGGCCAATTTTTGTCCGCCCATGGGGAGTTTTAACTTAAGGGGATACTTAAATACTTGAAACAACGATATTTGTTTTGAAAGTGTCGGCCGAAGAGAGTGTCCGGATAAAAGAGCTGTCCATTAAGGTAGTTTTCACTGTATATTGTTCGTAAGACAATGTTAGTAGTCAAAAAAAAAAATATGTTGCTACTAAGGAGGTTCTTTCCACAAATCGCATCGGATTCTTTGAAAAAATAACGAAGCTATTTAGTAGTAAGTATTGTTTATTAGACATTTAGTCTGCATATAAATTACACAAGTATATATGGCTAGCTGTTATGGTTCAAGAGATATCGATGGCTGGACATTGTACTTACTTTCAAGCATATCTTTTCCCCTTGGGTGTACGTCATAGATAGTGTAAGCACGTTTGTAAGTTACACACTTCCTAGGTGATAAGCTAAACAAAAAATTACATAAATATAGGTATTTATGGCTAGCACATAATATAGCAGACATGCTACAATGCGTATTTAAATAAATTTAAAAGAAAACCTACGCATATAAAAATAAACAAAAAGAAAAGATAATCCAATAAACAAGTCCAAATTGTTTTGAAGGGAAACAACCGATGAATTCCTGAGAATTACCGGGGTTTTGCATAGTTTATAGGCCACAAATATGTATATAGATAATATATATAAATAAATACATATGCACACATACATACATACATATATATCAACCATGTTGCTTAAAGAAAAAGCCAAAGCCAGACAATGAAGGGTCAGACGAGGAAAAAAGAACCAGACCAGTTCTCTATACAAGTACATATATCTTTTATTTTTGTCGTCTCGCCAACGGTTGTTGTTGGTCTATTTGTTTTTGTGTTTTAATTGCATGTCTGCAGAATGTTCACTAACCCTCACGCCCTCTACTTTCTCATTTCTTGCAGGGTAAGGGGAGCATAAGAAGTCGCCAAGATGGGGGACATGTTCCGTAGTGAGGCAATGGCATTATGCCAGATGTTTATACAACCGGAGGCCGCATACTCATCCGTCTCTGAGCTCGGCGAAACCGGCTGTGTGCAGTTCCGTGACGTAAGCAACATAATATAAACAACTTGAACAGAAATTTTGACCCTACCCACAATCCCTATACTCTCTTCCACAGTTGAACAGCAGCGTTAATGCGTTCCAGCGTAAGTTCGTCAACGAGGTCCGTCGCTGTGATGAGTTGGAGCGCAAGATTCGGTACATTGAGACCGAAATCAAGCGGGATGGCATTGTATTGCCCGACATTCAGGATGATATTCCACGAGCGCCGAATCCACGCGAGATCATTGATCTGGAAGCGCATCTGGAGAAGACGGAAACAGAAATGCTTGAGTTGGCGCAGAATGAGGTGAACATGAAGTCCAACTATTTGGAGCTGACCGAACTGCGTAAGGTGTTGGAGAATACGCAGGGCTTCTTCTCCGACCAGGAAGTGCTAAACCTGGATTCGAGCAATCGTGGTACTGGTATTGAGGATGCGAGTGCCCAGCATCGTGGACGTCTCGGCTTTGTCGCCGGTGTTATCAATCGTGAGCGTGTCTTTGCCTTCGAGCGCATGTTGTGGCGCATTTCCCGTGGCAATGTCTTCCTGAAGCGCTCGGATTTGGATGAGCCTCTGAAGGATCCCGCCACTGGTCATCCCATCTACAAGACCGTCTTTGTGGCCTTCTTCCAGGGCGAGCAGCTGAAGAATCGCATCAAGAAGGTGTGCACTGGCTTCCATGCCTCACTCTATCCTTGTCCCAGTTCGCATAACGAACGCGACGAAATGGTCAAGAATGTGCGGACGCGTTTGGAGGATCTGAAATTGGTGCTCAGCCAGACTGAGGATCATCGCAGTCGTGTGCTTAACACCGTCGCAAAGAATTTGCCCTCGTGGTCCATCATGGTCAAGAAGATGAAGGCCATCTACCACACGCTCAATCTGTTCAATATGGATGTGACCAAGAAGTGCCTTATTGGCGAGTGCTGGGTACCAACCAAGGACTTGCCAATTGTGCAGAAGGCGTTGTCAGATGGCAGCGCAGCCGTTGGCAGCACCATTCCATCGTTCCTGAATGTCATCGACACGAACGAAATGCCGCCAACTTTCAATCGTACAAATAAATTCACTCGCGGCTTCCAGAATTTGATCGACGCCTACGGTGTTGCCTCGTATCGCGAGGTCAATCCGGCTCTGTATACGTGCATTACATTCCCCTTCCTGTTCGCCGTGATGTTTGGCGATTTGGGTCACGGACTCATATTGGTTTTGTTTGGCGCCTGGATGGTTATCTGGGAGCGTAAGCTCAGTCGCGTTCGCAATGGCGGAGAAATCTGGAACATCTTCTTTGGCGGTCGCTACATCATTCTGCTGATGGGTCTGTTCTCCTGCTACACTGGCTTCATCTATAACGATGTCTTCTCGAAGTCGATGAACATATTCGGCTCGACTTGGTTTGCACCTTACAACGAATCTACGGTGCTGTCCAATAAACATCTTCAGCTGCCGCCTCGCTATTCTGTGAATGGTGTCTATCCAATAGGCCTGGATCCCGTCTGGCAGTTGGCCCAGAACAAGATTATTTTCCTTAATACCTACAAAATGAAACTCTCGATTATTACGGGTGTCTTGCACATGGTCTTCGGCGTTTGCATGTCTGTCGTCAACTATACGCACTTTAAGCGTTATTCCAGCATTTTCCTGGAGTTTTTGCCTCAGATTTTGTTCCTATTGCTGCTCTTCGGCTACATGGTGTTCATGATGTTCTTCAAGTGGATAAGGTAAGCGGAAAACTTGCCCATTTCCTGCGCAAACCCCATTGCATGAACGATTAATTTATGCTTTCAGATACACCGCTAATACTGACTATCAACCCGACACGCCTGGCTGTGCTCCCTCCGTGCTCATCATGTTTATCAATATGATGTTGTTCAAGAAACCCACCGAACTTCAGGGCTGCGATTTGCACATGTATGCTAGTCAGCCTGAAGTGGAGCGGGCATTCGTGATGATTGCTTTGGTGTGCATACCTTGGATGCTGCTCGGAAAGCCGCTGTACATCCAGATGACGCGCAAGAACAAACACCATGTAAGCTCAAACTCTCCAAAGGCGTTATCCCACATTTGCAATTGGTTTTTGTGTTTGTTTTTCCAATCAAGGCCAACCACAATGGTCAGTTGACCGGCAATATGGAGTTGGGCGATGCCGAAACGGAAACTCCACTGCCACTGGTCAGTGATGAGAGCGCCGGTGCGGGAGCTCACGGTCACGAAGATGAACCTATGAGTGAGATTTTCATTCATCAGTGTATTCACACGATCGAATATGTGCTCAGCACCATTTCACATACGGCCTCCTATTTGCGTTTGTGGGCTCTGTCCTTGGCGCATGCTCGTAAGTGTTTTGACATTCTTTTTTTTAATTTATGCGCAATATGAAATAAATATTTACATTTATTTCCAGAACTCTCCGAAGTGCTGTGGCAGATGGTGCTGTCCAAGGGTCTGGGAGGATCTGGCCCCGTTGCCATCATTTCTCTGTTCATTATCTTTGGTGCTTGGGCGCTCTTCACATTGGCCATTCTGGTTATGATGGAGGGCCTTTCGGCTTTCTTGCACACTCTGCGCCTGCATTGGGTGGAGTTCATGAGCAAAGTCTACGAGGGTCTAGGCTATGCCTTCCAGCCATTCAGCTTCAAGACCATCCTGGACGGCGAAGAGGAGGATTAAGACAAACCTCCAGCTGACGAGCTGCGTTGGAGCTCGTCCATTTTTGTTAATCTACCGTTTTTGTTTATTTTTGGAAAATGTCAGTATTGTGGTACTCTTCCCACACCCAACCTACCTAGTTTAAACAGTTCACGTTTTGTTCCATCTATATTGTAAAAGTATTCACTTGTCCTTTTCATATTGGCATTCTCAAAACTCGATGAAGCAATAATTTGATATTTGTTGTTACAAATAATTATTAATAAATATTTTGAAGCAAAGAAGAGAGCAGCAAAATGTAAAGACTTTTGGAATGTTCACCCATTGCAGTGGTCGACTGATTTGTTTCTGGTATTTGCTAATTGGTTGCCAATGAGTTTTTAATGCATTGAGCTGATAACAACCAAGGCAATGAATAGTGGGGTTATCAGTAGCCCCACTATTCCATCATGTTGATGTATGGCTAAAGTTTATCCAAAACATGCGACCTGTCAGATAAGCCTGGAAAGTTGTACATGCCTTCCCTTATATACCGAATGCTTCAATTGTCATGTCACTTGACCACGACGATCAGTTCAGTTGTCACCGTTCAACTGTGCGGAAGTGTTAACAAATTTCAGGCAAAATGAGGTTGAATGGTGGTTGGGGTTGGGGCTGCAGCTTGTTTCGCTCCGAGCAGCAGGATAGCATTTTTCGGAGCGAAAAAATGTCTCTGGTGCAAATGTTTTTGCAGCAGGAGGCTGCCTATGAGACCATAGCCCAGCTGGGTGAGGTGGGCTGTGTGCAGTTTCGAGATGTAAGTGGTGTTTAGTGTGCGGGAAGGATAACTGCTAAGCATTAACTTTGCAGATGAACGAGGAGGTGAATGCCCAGCAGAGAAGTTTTATCAATGAGGTGCGTCGCTGTGATGAAATGGAACGCATTATACGCTACGTAACTACTGAGTTGGTAAAGGATGGGCATAATGTCGTCAACCTGATTGACGATTATCCACCAGCGCCAATGCCTAGGGAGATTATAGAGCTGGAATCGCACTTGGAGAAGACAGAGACCGAAATTAAAGAGCTAGCCATCAATAATGTCAATCTGCAGGTCAACTATCTGGAGCTAATGGAAATGATTCAAGTGTTGGAGAAGACGGAGCAATTCTTTTCCGATCAGGAGGGGCACAACTTCGATGTGAACCGTCATGGTACACACAAGGATCCGGCCAAGAATCCCGGCCAGCTGGGCTTTATAGCTGGTGTCATTAGGCGCGAGCGCGAATATGCCTTTGAGCGCATGCTCTGGCGTATCTCGCACGGCAATGTTTTGGTGCGACGCTGCGATCTAGATGCACCGGTCAAGGATCCACGCACCGGCAATATCGTCCACAAGAGCATTTTCGTCGTCTTCTTTCAGGGCGATCAGTTGCAGGCACGCATTCGCAAGGTATGTACCGGATTCCATGCTTCCATGTATACCTGTCCCAGCTCGCACGAGGAACGCGTCCAAATGGTCAAGGGAGTGCGTACACGCCTGGAGGACCTCAAGGTGATCATCAGTCAGACCGAGGATCATCGCAACTGCGTGCTGGGCGCAGTTCTGAAACAATTGCCCTCTTGGATCGTGATGGTGAAGAAAATGAAGGCCATCTATCACACCCTCAATATGTTCAACGTGGATTTGGGCAATAAGTGTCTAATTGGTGAGGGTTGGGTTCCCAAGCGGGAGCTGGAACAAGTACAGACTGCCCTTGCCGAAGGCTCGGCATCTGTGGGCAGCACAGTGCCCTCGTTCATTAATGTGTTGGACACTAAGAAGGATCCGCCGACATATTTCCGCACCAACAAGTTTACGCGCGGCTTTCAGAACCTTATCGATGCGTATGGAATTGCTTCATATCGCGAGGTTAATCCAGGTCTGTATACCTGCATCACCTTTCCCTTCCTGTTTGCTGTCATGTTTGGCGACATGGGACACGGCTTCATTCTCTTTTTGCTGGGCTTGTGGATGGTCGTCGATGAGAAGCGTCTGTCCAAAACTCGCGGCGGAGAGATCTGGAATATTTTCTTCACTGGTCGCTATATCATTCTGTTGATGGGCATTTTTGCGGTCTACACGGGTTTCCACTACAACGATATGTTCTCGAAGTCAATCAATGTGTTTGGATCCCATTGGGTTGTGCAATATAATCGCACAACGGTCCTGACTAATCCCACGCTGACGCTCAATCCCTCGACCGATACACGTGGTGTCTATCCCATGGGACTGGATCCTGTCTGGCAATCGGCCAGTAACAAGATCGTGTTCCTCAATACCTATAAAATGAAGCTGTCGATCATCTTTGGTGTGCTGCACATGGTTTTCGGTATTTGTCTATCCGTGGAGAACTTTGTGTACTTCAAGCAGAAGGCGTACATTTTTCTGCAGTTTGTGCCACAGATCCTGTTTCTGCTGCTTATGTTCGGCTATATGGTCTTTATGATGTTCTACAAGTGGGTGGTGTACAGTCCAACAACGGATGTTCAAGCCAACTCCCCCGGCTGTGCGCCTTCCGTTCTGATCATGTTTATCGATATGGTGCTGTTTAAATCGGAAGTTCCACTGGCAGGCTGCGATGCTCTAATGTTTCCCGCACAGAAAGAATTGGAACTTGTGTTCTTTATGGTAGCGATCGTCTGCATACCCTGGATCCTAATTGGAAAGCCTTTATATATCATGTGCAAGCGCAAAAGCAAGGTGAGCTCATCAAAAAATACAAGACAATGTTATCATTTTTCTCAACATCTTGGAATTGCAGAACAAATGTGTGGATGAGGATAATATTATAGAGAAGATTGAAGTAACCAAAAACGAAGTAGTCATTACCGAGGTCGCCGAGTCCCATGAGAAAGGTGGCCATCACGAAGAGGACGATGAGCCGATGAGCGATGTTTGGATACATCAGGCCATACACACCATTGAATATATATTGAGTACTATTTCTCACACAGCTTCCTATTTGCGTCTGTGGGCCTTGTCCCTGGCTCATGCCCGTGAGTAACTCAGCCTGTAATATCCTATTGCTTGTTTAATGGGTTCTAAAATAATTGTAGAGCTGTCTGAGGTCTTGTGGACCATGGTACTATCAGAGGGTCTGCAAATAGGCGGCTATTATGGTGTCATAGCTGTGTTCATCATTTTTGCCATTTGGGTGTTCTTCACCCTGGCCATTATGGTCATGATGGAGGGTCTTTCGGCCTTTCTCCACACGCTCCGCTTACACTGGGTCGAGTTTATGAGCAAATTCTATACGGGAGCTGGCTATCCATTCCAACCGTTCAACTTCAAGGCCATTCTGTTGGAAGAAGACGAATAATTGCGGCAAAGTTTTAAGTTCTATTAATAAAAGCATGCCAAACTATATAATTTGTTTAATCGTGGAATGTTTAAAAGAAAGAATTGCAACAAACGATTGCTTTTTAGGAAAAAGATCAAATGATGGAGAGGCATTGGTGGATGTACTTGCCTGGATGTACTGCCTACATGTTCATATTAGGCTGTACCCCAACTAGTTTTCGGATGAATTTTACAACTTTTTAGAGCTTTAAACACCATATATTAAAATACTTGTAATTCACATATTTCTTTTAGGATTTAAAGGTCCTAACGAAGAATTGAGTTTAGAAATTGGTTTTTAACAGAACTGAAGAGGTTCTATTATTATTATACTTATGTATTCTTTAGGCTGTACAACTAAGCAGAACACTTCGTTAGTACCCCAACTAGTTTTCGGATGAATTAAAAGACTGTTTAGGCATCATCCATTAAAATAATTTACAAATTTCTCTTACAATTTCTTAACGAAGAATTGAGCTTAGAAATTTGTTTTCAAAAGAAGAGGCTCGGATGCACATAAAACATGCATTATAATTAACAAATTTCTTTTAGGATTTAAAAGTCCTGACGAAGAATTGAGTTTAGAAATTTATTTTTAAAAGAACGGAAGAGGTTCTACAAGCATAATTGTTTATTTTCTATATTTTCTATAAAATATTCAAATAACATAGTAACATAACATGGTAAGTATTAAGTATTTGTAAGTATATGGTAAGTATTTGGTATATGTATTATAATATTTTTCATTTCATTTATTCACAAAAATTGGCTTATAAATTTGTGTGTTTCTATAACTAGTTAACAATAAAGAGTTTAGGTTTTAAAACCTTAACTACTTAATTAAATATAAAGTATGATTTTACAGTTTATCAGTGAACGGACAGTTTCTAATATATATGTGTCAAAAGCGGGGGAGAAATTGTTATCAAAAATCAATCTATTAATATATTTTACATATACGAATATCTTAGATAAAAATAATATTTGCATATATACATTTATTTTAAACACTTATTTTTGTAGTAACAATATTTTCCTTACCCTCAATATTCTTTTTAATTTATATAAATACAAACTGTTAATCCATATTTTGGAGATCTAGGTGGTCCATACTTTTTCTAAAATAATTAAATTACTGTAGTTATTTCCGGTATCTGATATAATTGTGTAATCCCCTTTAGTGCACAGCCCTATTTTTTCAAGGTCGCGCAAAAGCTGGATAAAGAAGAAGAAGAAGTTGGGGATTAAGCTTAATTTAGCTGGCCATCATTAATGAAAAATCAGAATACCATAGCCGCGGGTGCTTCTTTTTGCCAACTTCTTCTGGCCCACATTGCGACGTGTTTTGGTTTCGTTTTGTGTAAAAAGGTCATCGCATTGAGGGCAGTGTTAAGCGAAAAATTCTTGCAGAGTGCAGCAAATTTCTATGGAAATGCACTCCGAGTGTGTATTGCGGAATTTAAAACTTTTGCCATTGAATCATAGTCAAACGGCAGTCGTAGGTTATTTAGTTTAGACACTTGAACAGCGCTTAGCAGTTGTGGAGCAAGAGCGTTCAGAGTAGGTTCCCTAGAAGTTCTGAGTTCCGAGCTTTGAGATAATGTCGTCAGATTTGCGCCTGGCATTTGTGCTGAGCCTGGCCGCATTTTTAGCCGTCAGCTGGGCAGATACATTGGTCCAGCTGCATGTCAATCGTCCCTACAACGATGTGAGTGAGAAATTCGTCAGCTTTGCCGTGAAGCCGGAGGATTTGTACGATGCTTTGGATGGACCGAACCGAAAGGCATTGACCGGCATGGCGGCCATGCTTGGCGATTCGTATGTCAAGTTCATTGGGGATTTCTATTTTGCAACAAATGCGCCGAAACGTCTGCGGAATCCAACGAAGATAATATGGAAGGGCTTCAATCGTTGGACGAGGTAAGTTATTGTTGCATAGCAAGACAGCTATTATATATTAATTAAATTACCTTAAGAGCTGTCAATTGGACGATGATAATACCCGTGCCGTATGCGCCAGACGAATGGGATTCCATGCACACGCTCAAAATTCTGAATACATCGTATATGGTGGGCATTACGGATTGCATTTGGCAACTGGGCACAGATTTTGGCACCTCACGCGCCAAGGACTATGTGCGTGAGCTGAACACACTCAAGCTGATGTCGGACACATTCAAGCCGTATGTGGATGATTGGCGTGTCATGGGAGCAGATATATCAGCGGGAAGTAGTGCGCCAGAGACACGGCGCTATGTGGATATGACCAAGGATGTGAATGCTGCTTTTGGCTGGACGCAGTGAGTATTGAGGAGGAGAATGTTTAGCATAAAGTTCTAAATGGGGCTGTCTCCACAGACCACCGAACATGTTGCCGGCCAGCAGCTTGGGCAGCTATATCTTCGAAGGAGATCCAGCACTGAAGGTGCTGCAACAGGCACGACTTCCACTCTGGCTAACGCTGCCACAGGAGAAGAGTGAGGGCTCGTCCGCACAGAGAATCAGCAAACGTCTGATTGGCGATGAGACGACGGATGCCTTGCGTTGGGCTCAGACCCTGGGCGATGCGGCCAGTACTGGCTTTGATGTGGTGTTCAAACGCATGACTCTAGCGGATTTCAAGCGTCCCAATTATAGTTTTTGGGTTACGGCACTTTTCAAAAAGGTCATGGGATCACGTGTCTTTCCAGCGCGGCCGCTGAACATGTTCGCTCCCACCAACAAGCTCTACACGCATTGCGCCAACGATGTGTCTGGCGGCCTGGCATTTATGGTGGTCAATACCGAGGACCAACCCACAACGATTACTGTACGCAGCTTAAGTCGACTGGCCAGCAGTGAGGTATGGCAGTACATACTGACTGCCAATGATGGACGGGTTCGGCTCAATAATGAGAAACTATCGCTTAACTCTACGCTGCGTCCAGTCATCAAGTCCAAGGACTCGAGCAAAATGCTGCAGCTGATCACGCCCACTATGTCTGTGGGCTTCTGGGTGCTGCCCAATGTCAATCTAGAGCACTGTCAGTATACAGAAGTCGAGGCAGAAGAAGTGGCTGCTGACAGCTCTTCGGAAAAGGATCGTAGCAATGGCTATAGCTCCGCGGATCGTTTGCTGCAGCGCCTGATCGAGGAGACGTCTGTCACTCGTGGCTCCCTTCAGAGTGCCATCAATCGTCAGCGACGTTTTGTGCTAGAAAACCAGGATGCCTCGGAACCACCAGGCTTGCTGGGACAGCTGCTGCAGCGATTTAAAGTAGACACGGATTCAGCTATTGGCCCCGTCTCGGTAAATAGGAAACGAGAATCTGTGGCCGAGCCAGCTAAAAAGTCGAAGACACAGCCTGTGAGCATACGTGATGCTTTAGTTTGGCTCCGTCAAGTACTAGAACAGACGCGTGACGTAGCACGTGAAGCGAGTGGTCAGCGTCGAAGACGCAGTGTCGACAGTTTCCGTGGACCGTTCTTTTATAATCGTCAAGGCAAACGAACGACTCTAACAAAGAAGATAACCGAAATACGCAGACCTGAACAAAATATTAAGCCGATCTGGGAGCATGGCGAGTTCGATGAGGAAGAATTCTTCAAGAAAGTTGGCGATCATACGGAACCGCCTCCATATACACGTCTGCCTGAAGGTGATGTGCATTTGAAGCACATTGAGACACAGGATGGTGAGGAGGAAGAACAGGATGATGCGGAGCCCAAATCGTATAAAAAGCGTGGACCATTTGGCAAGAAATCTCTGAAGATCGTTCAACGTTCACAAGAGATTGAAGACGGAGGTGAGCATCGGAAGCAGCGTTTATTGCCCACGGAATTCTTCGAGGCGCTGCCAGCTCCCATACATGGAAAGCGCTTGAATTTGGGCGCCACGCTGAACACGCTACTCTTTCCCGAACCCTTCTCCAGCAAGGCCACTATAGGCAAGAGCAAGGATAAGCATGAAGAGGCTGCCAGCGCAGAGCACGATGTCGAGCCTGTGGAGGGCAGTGGAAAGCGACCGAAACCAGGTCATGTGGCTTCGGACTTTTTGCAGGCACAGCGCGAACTAGGCAAACATTTTCTCAGTCACATCAAGGAGCATCAGCAAGAGTTTCCGCTGGGTGGAGAAGGAGCTCATGAGAGCTCCCTAGAGCTGGAACCATTAGAGCGTCGAGGTCCACTCCGTCAACCGCTGCACACGAATATTGCAAGCAGCAGTCGTCATCATGATGGAGTCGATTATTTTGGTGCAAAGGCATCAAAGCGCATACCGAAGCCAGCTGATGAGGGCATAACTTCCTGGTGGGATTTGCCAGCACGACGACGCAGACGTGCCCTGCCCCTGGCCTACTCCACAGAAACCCTTCGTTCCAATGCCATTGACAAGGATGGTGAGGACGAGCTGCTGCCACTGGGAAATGTCGTGCCAGGACGTTACTCTCTCTTCGACTACAGAGTGGATCTGCCCACAACAGAGCCCAAAACTGTGGTCCAGGAGCCCCCAACGGAGTCAATAATTATGAAAATATCCAAGACGCGCAACACGTCATCCCAACAGTTGAAGGAGAACTTGACGCTCTCCGACAAAATTGTGACCACAGTCAAGTCGAAAGTTTCCAAATTTATGCACATCATATCACGTCACATGAACGAATGGTACAACACATTGTCGCGTCACCTGGAAACTGGTGAAGAGGAGCAGCAGCGACAGAGGGAGGCTGAAGAAAATGCCATACGGAAATAAATGAGAGTGAGAATTTTAACTCTAGTTTAGTGTAAATACATACAATGTAACTATAATTAATGTTATAATTTACAAAAGTACAGTACAGAGAAATGTATTAGTTAATGAGATGACTAAAGAATGCTAAAGTTTTAAAACGAGAATCAAATAATATTAAGTGTAACTACATACATACATATATCAGTTATATGCCTATGCTAATATGTAAAGCAACCGAATTTTCTGCTCTGTTTGTAATTCAGGCTGAAACAGCATTTAAGAGTATTTTCTTTGTGAGCAACAACAAAAATAAATATTATTAAAACGAATGACTTAAGCAGCAAACTAGATAAACAACTACAGCACAGTCGCTATAGTTGTGGGAAAGCTTTAACGAAAAGCTTTCGCTGCTGTCGCTCTCTCTGCTGCTGTCGCTCTCTCTGCTGCTGTCGCTCTCTCTGCTGCTGCTGCTCTCACTTGATTGCTCTCTAGCTCTCACGCACACTTACATTTATAATTGGCCGGCTTAGCGAAAGACGAACCAAAAAGAAACTGAACAGCAGCATAATCACAGCAACAGGTTGTTGTAGACCCGACTACAACAACAGCAACAATAATAATCATCACTGTTATTACAATAACAATAAGCCAGTCAACACCGCGAACCCCAACTCTGCAGCCAGCTAGCCAGCCAGCCATCTAGCCAGTCGATGAGCAAACGTGCCAAGCGAAGGTTGTGTCAGTCGAGCTTCAAATTATAGAGGTAGTGGTAGAGTAGCCCATAGCTAGTCCAAAGTGCAGCCACGATTCCAATAAATATATACACATAGATATATATCTAAATCAAAAACCAACAACAACCACAACAACGAAAAGCAGAAGAAGAACAACAAAAGCCAAGGTGAGTTTGCGATCGAAAATGTCAGAGACAGAAGCTGACGCTGCATTTTGGTTGCCACAAAACGGGTCAGTTCTAGAGTCCCACCAGCAGTAACGGGTTCCCAATGGGCGGGGAGGTAGAGGTGTGTCTTGGTTGAAACAAAAGCGCAGAAGCGTAACTAAAAATTCCAGTCCCTCAACAACTTCACTACGCATTGTAGACGAAAATTTTTTTTTAGTGACGTGGATTGGGAGGAAAAAAATCTGTATTTTTTGTTGGCCTGCTTTCTTTTCATTCGGTTTCGACGTCAGTGAACTTTGCTTTGCAGCCAACAATATTTGGTTTCATAATCCCCCCCCCCCACATATACACACACTTTTAATTATTTAACCGGCACCTATGAAAAGTGAAAGTATAAATTTCATATACATATTGCTTTTTATTTTGGACTAATGAATGCAGTTTTTGATTTTTGGTTTTGCACAATATATTGATTTATTACTCAACAAATTAAAACTATTGCAACATTTTCGTGTCTAAACCATGTTTTCGTTTTTCTACAAACTTTCAGCGTTGTTCAAAATTTCTCAAGTGTCAAGTTTAAAATGCAAAACTTGTTTTGTTAACAACAACTACAACAACAACGACAAAAATAATGTGCCTTGGCCTCTTGAAGGTTGATATTGTTGTTGGCCATTATTTTTTTTATAGTATTTTTAGTATTGTATATAAAGTCTTTTGCATATTCAATATATTTAATATTTATAGGATGGGTTTCGTCTTGGATTTGTTGCCAGGCAAGCATTATTTGCTTGATATCTGCCTTATGACCATTATTGCGGCCATCGCGGCCAGTTTGCTGAGTTTGCGCTTCTATTTGCGCATTACGGCGGGACGTTGTTTCACGGAGGTAAAGCAATATCCCCCCTCCTCCCTCCCCACGTCAACCAAAAATATACGCCTCATTAACCACCACCATCCCCTCTGGCCAAACATACAAAAAATTGCGCAAGATGGTGACACGAAAACACAGTTTTTAGACATTTTAAAACCAATAACTTGTTCGCCACACGTGTTGGTTTAACAGCTTCACACCTATTGCCATAGTTTTGCAAGCTATAGACATTATTTAATAGCTTGACATGGCCTGCACTGGCTTGAAGATTTGAGCCAAGTTGTGCCTGTTTTGTTTTCCTTCAATGCCTGTATTATATTACATGAGTTCTTAAGTATCAAGCCGTGACGCACTCTTAATTAGCCATTTACATATATATGTATACTCAGAGTACTTATGTAGTATAAAGGGTGTTACTTAATGTGATTTTTTCAAGTGGCTACACTCAAAAAAGTTTGAGCACAATCGAGTCTATTATTCGTCAGATAGATTGAAATAAAAATGGAAATTTGGTTCCGTGCCTTAAATATTTTCCCATCATTTCAATAAATTGACTTAATAAACAAGACATCAGATAATACTTCAGCATATTGTTGAATGCTTACAAATATTGCATGATTAGATAATGAATGAGAATGAAATTGGACCCAACTTTTAAACACCCTGTACTGGACTGCCACATAAATAAAAAGAAAAATACTAATTAAATGAAAATAAAAAATATATACATATACGTATAAAATGATGATAGAGGCGTATGTAGGTGTGTGTTTGGATGTTTTTCGTAGAGAGTTGAGCCAAGGCAGCAACAACAACACCTGCTGCTAGCAGAGGTTAGTTTTATTCCCATAACTTTTGAGCTGACCTATCTCAATGACTTGACATGAGAACACATAACCACTAACCGGATGTTAGTGTTACGCTTGAAATCTTGTAAGAATTACGTACCTTATTTGATAATCACTTATAGCAGTGTATTAAGGGGATCATCAAGAAATACAAACACAAATATGCATAACAAGTTTGAAGATTCTTGTCTTCTCTTTTCATACGGATCAAGAATATAAATACTTTGTGGGATCTGCCCCACCTCGTTCTGTGTTTTCAATAAAATCGAACAACTATACACAACAACAATAAGTACATATATGCACCTTGTTTTGCCTTTTGGATAGAGGGTACAAAAAGGTTTTTCTCAACATTAAGGGCAGATTATAAGTATAATAAGTTTTGATTAAAAAGGTAAGGTATTTATTAAAAAAAAATTAAAATTAATCACTATTATAGTCAAGTAAGTTGATTAGTCTGAGTGGATGCTTATTTTATTCGAAGATAACCAACGTTACAAATTTTAGTGCAATTCCTACAACAATTCCACTTTGCAATTATTTCTTTCAAAATCAAACTGTTTCTAAACATTATATTGAAAACAGGACACTTTTCAAAATGAGACACGTTTTTAGCATGATAACTATTTAGTTTACTATTTTACTATTATAAAGAAATTAAAGAAAATAGAAGTTATCGGGATTTAGGTACAAATGGGAAGATTTTCAAATGGATGTTAGGCATCGAAAATGCTATATTCTTGCAAATTTTTGACCTAAAATAAGTGTTAGTTTTTCTTTTCAAATGAAAGCAAGAAATAGAGTATAATAGATTCCAATAAAGTAAAATAATAAAAGAGAAGCTGTTGATGCATCAATAGGATTATTAATTACTCGTAGTTTAGTCGTAAAAAGCGTTATTTACGAAATAGGCAATTTCGATTTAAAAATTACAATGTATTTAAAAATATTCAGACAGTTCCGACCAGACATATGTCCGCTACTTCGCATATTTGTAAAGTTATGTAAAGTTGAGCAATAAAAAAGCTAATTATATTTAATTATATAGCTAAAATGTGAAAAGCTACATTTTTTTGTGTAGTGTATTTACCACAGGTGTTTGCAACTGCTTTGTTTGTCTGCTTCACCGTTCCAGTTATATAGTAGTACATATATCGGTTACATATATAGTATAGATCTCATTCAAAGAGACAATTGCCGGCATTCCGATGTGCTGCTCATTCCCAGCAGCAATTAATTAGTTATGCCCATTTTATTTGCTAATAAGTACTTATATACAAGTGCAGTATATAGGCGTTGTTGTTTGTGTTCGTAAGCTGTGATTATTTGAAGTAAGCAATTTTTAATTATCGGTATAAATATTTATGCAGCCTAACCCACAACAACAACTTGACAAAGTTGAAAACACGCTTTTTAATCAACAAAATTGTATATTTTAGACTAAAATGGAAGGCAAAACTGTCATTATTACCGGCGCCAACAGCGGCATTGGCAAGGAAACGGCCAAGGACCTGGCCGGACGTGGTGCGCGTATTATTATGGCCTGCAGGAATCTGGAGACAGCCAACGCCGTCAAGGGTAGGTGTCATATAGTATTCAATAAAATATATAAATAACTACTACATATTTGTGATAATATTGCAGACGAAATCATCAAGGAGACCAACAACAACAAGATAGTGGTGAAGAAACTCGATTTAGGCTCACAAAAATCGGTGCGCGAATTTGCCGCCGATATTGTCAAGACAGAGCCCAAAATCGATGTGCTGCTTCACAATGCCGGCATGGCCTTGGCCTTCCGCGGTCAGACCAGCGAAGATGGCGTAGAGCTGACCATGGCCACCAACCACTATGGACCCTTTTTGCTGACCCACTTGCTCATCGATGTGTTGAAGAAGAGCAAACCCTCTCGTATTGTTATTGTGGCCTCGGAGCTGTATCGTCTGGCTTCGGTCAATCTGAACAAGTTGAACCCCATTGGCAGCTTCCCGGCTGCATATCTGTATTATGTCTCGAAGTTCGCCAACATCTACTTTGCCCGCGAGCTGGCCAAGCGCATGGAGGGCACTGGCGTGACTGTTAACTTCCTACATCCCGGCATGATTGATTCTGGCATTTGGCGCAATGTGCCCTTCCCGCTCAATCTGCCCATGATGGCCATAACAAAGGGCTTCTTCAAGACAACCAAAGCGGGCGCCCAGACCTCCATCTATTTGGCCACATCGGATGAGGTGGCCAATGTGTCGGGCAAGTACTTTATGGACTGCAAGGAGGCTACATTGAATGCCGCCGCTCTGGACGATGAGAAGGCGCGTAAATTGTGGGAGGAGTCCGTGAAGATTGTCAAGCTGACGCCACAGGATCCTAAAATCTAAGCCAGAACCGCCAGAGGGACCACTCAATGGAGGCGCAATTCTTTCAATACTTTGCTTATTATAATTAGAGGGACTGTAGTTGACTGTAGCTTAAGACTTTTCACCTAAATAAAATACATAAACCAACAAAGAAACAAAAGTTGCAATATTTACTGAGAATATTAATTATTTATTAAAAAATTAAAGCAATAAAAATGGTTTCGAAGCTATATTTTGATATGTACATTTTTAAATAATTTCAACAATACAAATACTCTTAAATAATAGTTGCTCTTCAGATTTGGTTGAGTTCTTAATGAAGAATATTGCTGCTTGAATTGTTAATTAAATGAAAATATAAATAATTTCATATATTATATTAAATATGTAGAATAATAGAATTTTTGGAGTTTCTATTAATTTTCAATTTTATGACAATCGTATAGATAGATAGAAACCGAGTTGTCTTCAGATTTGATTAACAGGCAGGCCTTTATAAAAGTGACAGTGCCTGTAGAAAAGTAACAGAAATAATTAACAACTAATTCAGTTTTTACAATTAAACATTAAAACATTGAAACATGAAAATTAAACATTTTATATAACCGTGTAACCGACATTATTCCATTTAGCACGATCTAAAATAACATATGATCAATGTCTTTGTTACGCGGTTTTTTTTACGCTTTTTCTGGAACCAATCTACCGAGCATTTTTCTTACACTACTCCCTTGGGCCACCCTAAATAACATAACAGAAGTCAGCCGAGTTATCTCAAGATTTGATAAACAGAAAGATGTGGTTAACAGTGCCTGTAGAAAAGTAACAGCAATACATTTAATTGCATTTTCCTAGCATTACTCCGTTAGTGTTTTAGAGTGTAAAACGTAATAGAAGGCAGCCGAGTTATGTCAAGATTTAATTAACAGGAATTGTTGGTTAACAGGGCCTGTAGAAATTTGTAATTACATTTTCTTAGCTTTACTCCGTTGGGCCACCCTAAAACATAACAGAACGCAGCAAAGCTCTGGAAATAACAGCGCAAGCTTGCACCGCGTTGTTAATAAAAGTTGACTGCTAACAAAAGCTCGCTGTTGGGCAAAGCAGCAACTTTCTTTAGAAAAAGAAAAAAGAATGCAGCTTAATGCAACTTGTTAATGCCACTTAGAGTCCACACTCGGCAACTTCTGCAACTTCAGGCTCTGCCTTTTGCGCAGCTCAACAGCTCAATTTCAGTTCATGAGAATTAATAAAAGCGACAAATCACAGCGCCAGCGGGAAATTCGATATGGTCGGGACCAGAGCTGCTAACCAGTTGCCCAAAAAAATTCTCACACAATGCGCTCGTCACCTGTTGAGAAGGACGAGGGGAGTGGAATGGAGTGGAGTGGTGAGGAGAAGAGAAGAGAGGGGCGGGCGTGCGACGCTGCCACTGCTGCAAGGGTGCTGAGGCAACAGACACGTTAATCTGATAAAATTGCAGGCGCATCCTTGCCGTTGTCTCTGTGGTCGGCCGCTACTTGTGTCGATTATTATCAGCTGCTGTTTGGCACGTGGCTGGTGGGGGCGACCAGCTAATAACATTTTAACAACTATAATTGAAATTTAATATTTATCCAAAGGATTACAGGATAATCATTTGCGGTTTGCCAAAACGCTACCACACAGATAACAAAACGTGGCTGACAAGCGCCAGCGATGCGATAATTGCAGGCTACTTAATAATACATAGAACCCACCCCTCCTCCCTTCCTCACCTCCTGACCAGCCCACACACTCGATTGTGAGAAAGAACGTGTTCTGCATTCGATTTTTAGCGCGATTCGTTTATTTGCGGAAGTGATTTTCTAATTGTCTGAGCACTCGTAAAAAAAGGAGGAATGCACAAACAGTAGCTGGCAGCTCTCTCGCCCTCTCACATATCTCTTTATTGTTTCATTGGTCTGACAGGACAATCGGGCCGTCACTTAGCCATTGATAAGGGACAATATGCTATACACCCTTTCTCGTTGCTGCCCGCTTCAAAGTATCGATTTACAAATTCATTTTGGCGCGCTCCACTCATGTGTAATTTTGTAGTAAAAACAACGACAGCATGTCCTGCCAGTTCAATTGTAATTCAAGTAGTTCCTTGACTTCTTAAGGATATGCAGCCGTGACAGCCAGTTCCTCAAACTCAAAACTCAAACAAACTGTCGCTGCGTTTTTGGTTAGCAATAAGTCGCACTCCTCTTCACATTTTCTCCTCTTTTTTAATAATAAGCAGGCTTAGGTTTTTAATAAGAAGTGGGCTATGAGCCGACTCGTACAGCTGTCAGCAGCAGACCCCGACTGTCACTTTGTCAGGAGTATGTCAGCCTGTTCGGCTATCACGCGGTCAGCGTCATCGATACTTTCGACACTCTGGGGCACAGTTGCGGCCAATGGTGTTGTGGGTGTGTGTTAGGGTTATAAGGAAACAACATCGTTACATTATTTTCTTCAATTTAACTTCAACTTCAACTCTTTATTATTATTCAGCCTGAAGGCCTTCGTTGCTCTGGCTATATATATACTTTTTATATGTATCAAATTTTGTGATTTACTTGTAGGAATAATTCTAAGTTACAAATGTTAAAATAAATAAATAATTATTATATATTTATATATTCTTGCGCTGCAAGCAATTTCTATTGAATTTGTAGTCTTTGAAAAATATTTACAATACAATTCTGTAATATTTATAGTTATTTTATTGCTTGGATGCTATCGAGAACAGAGAACTATTGGACATCTCGATCTGCTGAAAGTGGTATTGTTTCGCAGACTATTTCTGTACCCATGTCTCTGTGTATGGAGGTGTATGTATGTAGTACAGAGAATATTGGAGTTTATTTGCCAGATTAAAATGGAAATTACTTTCTAAATCGATTAAAACGCCATTTAAGATCGAAGTAGTATACACCTTATTCGAATTTTACACGGTAGATTGGTTCCAGAAACAACCCTTTAAAAAAATGCCAAAATAGGTGATTGGTTCCTTATCTCTAAAGAAATATATATACCATTTTTAATTTTCAAATCGTGTGATATTAAAACCGTCTTAATACAGAATTAGGTGTTGTATGCCTAGAAGAACCGAAAAAACAAATCTTGAATCATAAACTTAATATAAATCTATTCGAAACAGTGACTAAAGTACGGATAGTTCACAAAATGCTTATACCAAGTCCAATAGTCTTGCTTCAAGTATTTTTTCTCAATCTACCAAAATTTCTAAACTATCTGTATTCCTTTTTGGTCTGTTATTAATTTTTTTTAAATAATAGACATGTGCTTATTATAGTCCTTGAAAATATTGTATTACATATGTTTTTTCTATGCTATATGATATTATTATACCTATATATATATTTCTATAACTTTTGTTTGATATATCTTGGCATAGTCCAATATAATTGCTACTTAGGAGATGGTCCAGCAGCTCAGTGTGTTAACCTCATAGAGGTACAGGAAACATTGAGGTGAACTAGATTCTAGATAAGCTGGCAAGGAAGGAAGCGCTCACACTTATCCCATCTGACACGGAAAGAATCGGCTTTGATGCGAAAACACTGCCTCGTCTTTGCAAGGATTCTGTAGCATTATGGATATGAAAAAACCACAACACTATTTAAAACGGATTGAAGAGCCTCCAGCTCTAACGGGCCATTGATTGATTGAAAGGCTGCAGAGATAAGGAAGAAAAGGGAAGCATAGAGCATCACATGGCAGGCTCAAAAGCATTGCTCTGGCCCTACACTTCCTAAATGATCTTACAGAAATGCCATAAAGTTTCTAAAACTAAAACTAGTTCAATTCATTAATGATTAAAAAAATACAATTACTTTTAGGTCTACTATAGTATATGTTTGTGGACGAGCAGCAAACTAACATTTCATTTATATTTATCTAGGACTTTTCCTCTAAGAAAAAAAAACTATATACTGATATGTGGAAATCCGTGGCTATGTGGCTAAGCAACGCTAGTATTAGGCAGAAGTTTCTTCATCCAAATGCCTCTCTTTAATTGTTTCAAATATTGCGTACTTATTTAAATGCGATTTAAATTTAATAGAATAATATTAGCAAAAAGTTTTACATTTATTTTGCTAGCCCTACCTATTAAATAAGTAGTGCAAGTGTCAGTTGATCAAAATATAAAACAAAAACAGATGTCATGCAGAGCATTATGGTTAAAAAGCCAATATGTTCCTCTAATTCCATTCCCAATGAATGAATTCAATCGCCGGCAATTAGGCCTTTGTAAATGCTACGATGCTAGATGCGTAGAATACGTTTGGAAAAATAATATGGCTACGCCCACATGAGTATAAGTAGCATGTCTCAGCATGTTGGCAAAACCAAATCTTAGCGCCTTATGCGCTGTATGGCAGACTGAAGGGCATATCAGTTGGTTGTTCATAAATATATTTGAAGTAAGTTTGGAAATAATTCAATGTTCTACAGAGAAATGTATTATATTATTTCAAAAATGATTTTCATACGTTCTTTGATCTAGAAAGTTGTATCAGCTGTATCTCCATCTGCCTTGTTAGTAGGTTTTGGAGCAGCGCATTGGATAGTTGGGAGAGTCATGTGTGTTAACTAATATCCAGCATTAACATGTTGAATGACTTGACTGCCAGCATAAAAGCAGAGTGTAGCCAAAGCTAAAGAAGCCCCAAGAGTACCACCCGAAAAGTATTTCATTGATTTTTGAAGCCTTGGCAATACTTGCAACACAGAACAGAGAGAACACAGCGCACAACTCAAAGCGAAATTCAAATGAATGCCTGACTAAATTTTGCGTTGGTGGCAACAACAAGAACGACAGCAACAATTCTGGCAAAGGATGTCTTCGTGCCACAAATAAATGAAACTGTTTAGCAACGCAAATACTTTATATAAATAGTGTGGAAACTCTTATCCATGGCCCAGTGCTCGGATCAAACAAACTCACAAGCTCACGTGTGCCACCAATGATGTCCATTGTTGATGTTAATGTTGCATGATGATGGCGATGGTGCTGGTGATGAGCTGGTGTGATAACAGGTACACGGAATGCACCCTTAGGGTGGTTATCGGGGTGGTGGTTGTCCATAAATGTTTGCCCTGCAGCTTAATTTGTTACAAATTCAC